GGTAATGTTATACCTGACTGTTTCCAAATGAGTTCAATTCATAACGTGAGGAACCTTGAAAGATAACGAAGTCAGTTATGAGACGTTTTATGTTTAAAGCTAAAAACCTCCATGTTTGCATAGTATTGCTACAGTTAATGGTAATGTCTGACTTTAGTAATGATGTTAGCTAATGGTGAGTCTGGTTTGAAACTAAACCTTTTCCGCGAAGTCGTCCAAACAAAGTGTTTGAAGGATATTTTTTGAAGGGGTATTTTGAAAGGTTTGATAGAATGTAGTTTGTAGTCGTTTCATATCGTAAACTCCTGAGTATGACGTAAGTGGTGTTTGTCAATAATTCTTTCCATCTCCTCAGAAGTCTTTTGCATTCCTGACTGTATAAATTCAACGATGGCATAATATTTCCTCTTACTCGAATGTAACGTTTGGATTCAATGCAGTTCCACTGTCTGGAACTTTAAACGACAAGGCTTGAACTTTTGACATAAATGTTTTCGCTGTTGAGTCCATAGAGTCTGAAGTTGCTGATAAAATGATTTGTCATAATATGAGTCATTCCTAAACGTTCTGTTATGATATATGACGAATGAGGTTAAATGTCTTACCTGAACCCATCTTTCCACAAATAGAAATACACACCATTTGAACAGAACTCATAGTCCTTACTGAAAGAGAAGAATTAAGAGAAGAGTTAAGTTTGTCTGTAGTTTCATTCATGTCTTCATCTAACGTCATGTATTAAATGCTTCAATTTTATCTCCATTAAAAATGCAAGTCAGAAATATTCAGAACATACACAGAGTCTAACTGGACAAGAGTATAAAGATATCTATGAACACGTTATGATGAAACCTACCAAAATTCAAAAAAGTCAGTATTACTTATGAATATCCAAGACACTGGGTAGAGTATGTAGGAGTGAGAAAAAGCTATTGAAATCAGACAGGTTCGAAGTATTCCAGCAGGAAGAACAATATTATTGAAGAACTTTTAATGTTTGAGATATAATGATGAAACAAAGAAGCAAGATAGTTTCCCTGTTGCTGTGTATGTGAACTTAGATACAGGAGATGACATGAAAGTTTTTACACAAAGCTTAAAACGGTAGTGAGAGAACAAACTTACTGCGGAAGGACATCCATTACCTTCAGAAGTTACCATAGCATATTAATTTTGAAACAAACTCAATAGATTTTAAAGTCATCTCTGCAAAGAAGTCAGGTTTTACATTTAAATGAAGCAGATGTATATTCGAATGAAAACTTCAAAAGCCTATTGCATGGTTAGATAATGACGATTGCTTTAAGAAAATATTTAAATACAGTGACTCAACGAGTGTCAAATAGATGACCTTCGTGGAATGTTACCATCGACGTTTACAGTAGAAGGTTCAGCAGGATTGCTTACAAGATTGTCAATTGGTTGGTATTTGGCTCGTGGAGAACATTGTTATAAAATCCAGTATAAGTGAATTTGCTGAAGAATCTATATTATGTCTTTCAAACTATATGTATTCGCCCGCAAGCATTATAGTTATAACAAACTTTGTCAGTAAGTTTAACATAAACTTATCGAACCTTTCTTCAATGAAAGATGTTGTGCTACCTAAAGACGGAAAGGATGGACTCATTATTTGAGATGATTTTAATAGCATTATTAAATGAGTTTGTTTTTGAAGGTTATCATGATGAAATAACCGTTGTAGAAGATGTTAGCAATTGTTCAGACATTTTGAAGCGTATAGATGATATAAGAAATAAGTTAGATAGACCGCAAAAGCGGTGAGGGCGAAGCCCGTGAGAACGTTTATGTTTCATTGACTTTCTCCAGTAACGAGAACTTTTATGAGATAATATTTAAGAGAGATGATTTTAATATGGGTTAAATGGTAGCTTGGGCAGCTTTAGGCGCAATGGAACAAAAGCATTAGCATTTGGAGCAAAAGCACTTGGAGCTTATGACGCCGCAGTAAATAAAATGAGTGGAGGAAGGGTTTCGAAGACATTAGATGCAAATAAAGGGAAGATTGGAGGCTGGGTTGCAAAGAAGTTAAGATTAAATAAAATAGGGCTCATAAATAAAGCATCCAATTTGGTTGCGACTGAGTCAGAAAATGCTTTAGGAAAGGACGATGAGTTTGCAAAACACGCAAAAGACTTTAATGACCAGATGAAAGGTGAAACAATGCATTTAAATAGAGTCGATGGAACTAAAGAAAATGTTTCTTCTCCACCAGTAGTTCTTCCGTATGGTCCCTATGGAATGTATGGAAACCCTTACGAAAGACCATTTGACCCATTGACTGGTGGAAGTAACTGGTATCATTACGGCGAAGAAGAAAGACAGTCAAGTTGGAGACAGACGTGAAGAAAGCAACTAAAAAGAAACCAAGGAAGAGAGTTATAAAGCAATGAATTCAACAGGGTGAAAAAACAGGTGAAAAAACAGGTGAGATCTCACCACTTCACCTAAATTTATTTTTGTGCTATGTTTTCATACGTGTGAGGGTGGTGATATCATTAATTTTTAAGTTTATTTTTTATTTTATTTTTATATAAATGACGAAAACTATTGAGATAACAAACTACAACGGTCATGAGTTCAAGAATTTGTTCTTCGTTCCTCGTGAAAATACATTCTATCAGATACGAGGGAGAAAGGGTAAAGTTAGTTTGAGCGTTTATGACTACAAGCATAATGGAAAGTTTATACAAGCATACGATACAAACGGTAAACGTGTTTCATTAGCTTTGTCAAAACTTACTAACATTTATTTTGACAGTGATTTTGACCTATATGAAGAAGAAAGTGAGTCAGAAGAATATGAACTGTTGTGTGAAGCACAGCAATGGGAGGAGTTGCAATACTTTTGTAAGTGAGAACGTTTATTTTTTACATTAGTGAGGTGAAGTGATTGGCGGCTTTGTAAATATTTAAGGTTAAGTTAGTGTTGTCGTTTGTGTTGTAAAATATACGTTAACGGTTTTGTAAAGTGTCAAATTCACATATCAGGGGTAAGGAGGCGCGCAGTGCCTCCGTACCCCTGATATGTTTACTAACTAAAGGTTATGACATAAGCTGTACTGTACAGTATGACACGGGTAAAGCGCTAGAAGCATTTAGTTATAACGATGAAATTTATGCCTCTACTTTCTCTGTTAAAGGTGTATTAGTTGAACCAAGATTTACTTTGAGAGTTAAGTCAAAAATAACTTTTGAAGATGCTATTAAAAGTAAAGCTGACAAAGATGAACTTGACGCAACGAACAAAGTTTTGAAATCTCATAAACACAATATCTCCGATATAAATGAACTTCAAGCTACATTAGACAGTAAAGCCGACAAGAACCATACAAACGAATCCTTCACTACTGTTAGAGCAGACGACATAATATTGAACTATACCCTTGGTTCAAGTGCACCTTTAGAGAATCCAAGTACAAGCGTAAAAGATACACTAAACTCCTTAAATAGTAAATGTATGAACATTGAAGGTCATGTCAGAAACTTTGAAACACATGAACTACCAGCAATGTTAGATAAAAAAGCAGATAAAGAACATACACATAAATCCTTCACTACTGTTAGAGCAGACGACATAATATTGAACTATGATTTGGGTTCAAGTGCACCTTTAGAGAATCCGAGTACAAGCGTAAAAGATACTCTTAACAATTTAGATAACAGTTGCAGGAATATCGAAGGTCATGCCAGAAACTTTGAAGCATATGAACTACCAGCAATGTTAGATAAGAAAGCAGACAAAACAGAGCTTCAAACATTAAAGACTGAAATACTTCAAATATTATATCCTGTTGGTTCTATTTATACGTCAATGAACTCAACAAATCCAGAAACAGTTTTAGGTTTTGGTACGTGGAAGCAGATTGTAGATAAATTCTTATACTGTGCTAGATATTCAAAGCAAACAGGAGGTTCGAAGAAAATTAAAGAAGCAAACCTTCCACCGCACACTCATACAGGAACTACAAACACAACAGGTAGTCATTCACATTCAATAACAAAAAGAGGTTATACAAATCTTGCAGCAGGTTCGGATAGACAGGGAATGCATAGATATGATATTTCAAGTGACCCAGTAGATTCAAGCGCAGGTATTTTCTGTGGAACCGCAGGAAATCATTCACACACTTTCACAACAAATCCAACAGGCTCGGGTGCAGATTATATGCCACCATTTGTGACTGTATTCGCATGGTACCGCGTTCAATGAACGCGCTTGAGCCTAGAATAAAATCTTTAACTTTACATAAATGAGCTTGAAAGAAGTATTCGAACAACATCCATGGAGGTCATTTAAGAAGTTCAATGAAGCTGCAAAGAGTTGGGGATTTACTAACAGAGCTGAAGTGAAAAGGTTCTTTGACAAAAATGTTGTACATCAAACAAAAATAAACCCTTACGACTACTTTTTACCAATTTACTCCAACGCTCCTGACGCATACCAATTTGACACTCTCATTCAAAGCAGAAAAGGAGGACATAAACCATTCCTCATCTTCATTAATGTTAACACTCGTAAAGCATATGCATATCCAATGAGGAATAAAGGAACTCGTGAAGTGTTAAGAGTTTTACAAAAGTTTGTAGCAGAACATAGCCCAAGTACTTTAACATCAGACCAAGACAGTGTATACCTCAGCAATGAAATCACAGATTTTCTCATTAAGCATAACATAATTCACTACACTACTGAAGACCATAACCATAACATACTCGGCATCATAAACCGCTTCATAAGAACGCTCAGAGATTTAAACCAAGAGCGAGACTTTACCGAAGAAACAATGAAACATTTTCTCGAAGTATATAATTCCTCAACACATTCTACAACAGGACATACACCAAATTCAATGACACAACAACAAGAAGAAAAGTATATACAAAAGAAACGAATCCAAACACAAAATATCAGAAATTCAACACAATTTACCCTCATTCCTGGTACAAAAGTTCGTGTAGTTCTTGACGACAAACCGTTGACAAAGAAACGTTTAAGGTTAAGTAGAAACTATTATATCGTAGACTCTACACAAGGTAATGGATATCTTATAAAAGCTGCTGACGACTCCATAGCATTTTACCCTCGACATAAATTAGTTGAAAGTAGTAATGGCAAACTTGCTGAAACCATTGACGAAGCAAAGCGAGGAGTGGTTATTGAAATACTTGGCTATAACATAAACGATGACACTTATAAAGTAAGATATGAAGGAGGCGTTGAAGATGTTATACCATCTAAGAACTTAAGAGAGTCAAAGTCAACACATCTGGGACCATTAGAGCGGGAGTACTGGAAAGAAAAAAATAAGCCAGAAAGAATAAGAAAATTCTTCTAAACTTTTTCATTAGATGTAAATCAGACAAAATAATTTTTAGGTGAAGAGGTGAGATCTCACCTGTTTTTTCACCTCTTTTTTCACCCTCGCCGCTTAGCGGCTCAGATTGCTTTAGCTTTCTCATGAAAATTCATGAATTTCCTTAAGATAGAAAAATAAAGTTAGTTTTATTTTTTATTTATTTTTTATTTGGTATGTAAGAACAGAAATGTCAGTCGAAGCAAAAACATTCACGAACAAATCTAATGGCAAAACATTCACAAAAGGCACTTATAATGGTATTGAAGTCTTACGTAGAGACAAGGATGGTTACATTAATGCAACAAAGATGGCAAGAGAAGCAGGAAAGTTAAACCATTTAAACCGATTTCTCAATAGTGCTAAAATGCAGGAAATTCTTGAGTTTTGGTTGAAAGAATACGGTCGAGCCAAAAGTGGCTCAACCTCAAAACAAGCATTTTATGAGCTTACTAATGGTGTTCTAAATGAATTCAAAGGTATTTACATACATCCTGACCTCGTTCATTTTGTTGCTGAATGGTGCTCTGTAAAGTATGCATTTTATGTCAAAGATATTATGGACTCCATAGACAAGAAAGTTCATGAGAAGTTAGATGAAGAAGAACTCGAAGATACAGTAGAAAATGCAAAACATTTGTTTGAAGAAGAAGTTAGAAAAATGCATGAAAAACAATTAGAACATGAACGTGAGATATGTTATGGTTATAGAGATTCTCCATACGAACTAGACCAATGGGAACAAGAAGATTTAAAGAGAGAATTTAGAGAATATGAACTCGCTAAGATAGCATTAGAAACTGCAGAAAAGAAGTTAAAAGTTTGGGGTCGTTTTGTACAAAAATATTGTGAGTAAATGAACCATTTATTTTTATTGAATTCACCAAAAATAATGTTTAGGGTAGATGGTTAGATCTAACCCGATTTCTAACCTCATTTCTAACCTCGCCGCTTAGCGGCTCAGATTGCTTTAGCTTTCTCGTGAATTTTCATGAATTTCCTTAAGATAGAAAAAATAAAGTTAGTTTTATTTTTATTTATTTTTTTATTTTGTATAAAAGATATGATTTCAACAATCGGCACAACAACAATTCAAGCCACGAACGGCGGGACTCTGTCCACAACTACAGCACCAAACTCGCTAGTCATGAATCCTACGTCAATGTTGGTAGAGATGAAAAGCTTTATTCCTTCTTCATATACTTTTGAAACAGAAATCCAGAAGATAAAGCAAGAACTTTTAACAAGTAATTTAGACTGTAGTGCGAAAGATGAAACAAATGAACAGTATCTTTATGAAATGGAGGACCTCATCGACCATTTGCCTAAACTACCTGAAATTCAGCAGCAAAAACTACCTATTCCTGAATTCGACGAAATTGAAGTCAAAGCAACTGACTCAGTAGAAATTAAGAAATTCATACGTAAAGTAAATTATGAATTCCTTGGTTTTCATTGCAACCATAAAGTTATGGACAAAGATTGCGACATGGTTTATAAAAATATTTCTGACCTTTACAAATCCGAAGAATTTAAGACATACGATAACTTTGTTTCATTAGTTGCAAAATGTGTATGGCAGATAAGAGATAAAGATAGAAGAGGTAAAGTATGGAATGAACAGATAAAACCAGCAGCTTTTGAGTTAAAGAAAACCATTGACGCCTTAGTTGTTCTAGCTGGTAATGTTTCAATGTATAACGCAAAAATGAATCCGCAATGTTCTAAATGTAAAGCAGCAATTAGGAAATATAACTATTCAGTAAAAGAGATAGAAAGAATGAGAAACGACTATGCAGATTTAAAGAGGGAAGCAGAGAAGCCGGTAGAAAATAAAATGGACATGCTGTCATTTCTGAGCAAAAACTATCCAACTGCTGACGATTTCCTTCTATCTGATGTCAAGAAGAAGTATAAAGAAACTTTCGGCATTGTTAAAACATTCGATGTACTAAAAGAAGAAATAGAAGCTACGAAATTGTTTAGAATCTCACGAATTCATAACGTTTACCATGTAAAACGTTTATAAAATAACTGGGGTAGAAATGAGGTTAGATATCGGGTTAGATCTAACCATCTACCCTAAAATATATTTTTGGTCAAAGCTTCCACGAGAGAAAAGATTCCTCATTCGCTAAGGATTCCAAAAATGAAAAAATCATTGATTTCGGCTGAGAAAAAACAGCAAAACCCTTCTTCCATTCCACGGGAACAAAGAAATAAAGAAGAAATAAAGTAAATTTTTTATTTATTCCCGTGGAAGATAGAGCACTTTTATGACACTTTTTATTCACGACAAACAAGACAAACAAAGAAAATAAGAAAATACGGCGCTGTTGCGGTTCGAACCACAGACCCTGACCCCTCCATAACACCACCTTAGACCACTGTGCTACGTAGCCTGTCGACATAAGATTTTATAAATTGCATATTTGACGTAAATTTATTTCCATCTGGCTTCCCACCGCATAAGATATTCATACGTGTTTGTAAGACATTCATTAAACTTCTTTTCTATTGCATCTAATCTTGCGTTATTTTTTCAATAACTTGTCTGTATTCTTCATCATTGTTAACCAATTTTTTATCTACAAATTTTATTAGTGTTTGATTCACTTCGTTATGATAACGGTCATATTCTTTCAATACGTAAGTGAAGACAAAATGCGTCGTACCTTCAATCTTAAAGCTTAAAGAACTTTCAACACAGTTTTGAGGGTCTGTCAGTGCGTCAATGAGATAGTATTCGAAGTCAGTCAATAATCTTTTTAAAGTCATTTCATACAGGATAAAATTTAATGTTGTGAAGAAATAGTGTTTATCTCAGAAAAAATAACGCTAATTTTATTTTTATTTATTTTTTTTATTTTGTATGTAAAGACAGTAATGTCAACATCAGAGAACACAACAACAGTTATAGTCCATGAAGCTATAAATGAAGAATACGAGTACATACAATATAACAAACAGTTACGTCTCATTCGTTCAGTCAAAGATGACATGTACCAAATGCAAAGTATAATGAATGCTCTTCGTTCTACAAAGCAAGCATATCATTGGTTTGAAAACCAACAGACAAAAGAACTTTTAGAAGAATTTCCTCATATGATTGCTTCCCTCGGAAAACCGGGGGAAGAGATTCCGTATGAAAATCGCAAGAATTTGGCTCCTGGTTTGAAAGGTTATTATGTTCATAGACTTTTAGTAAATGCTGTAGCAATTTGGGCTTCACCTCGTTATGCTTGTTATATTTTCATGATGTTAGATGAACTATATAAAGCAGAACGTGGAGAGATGGAAAAGAAACTTCAAGCAAAAGATGAAGTCATTGAATCCAAAGACAAAAGCATACAGAAAAGAATACCGCGTTCAGTACCAAAAGGAAAGGAAAAGAGTTATAGGTATATGATATATACTGAAGAGTTGGAGAAAGAAGAAGATAAAGATATGGTTATGTTGCATTTAGTCAGAAGAAACAACAAGAGCTTTTATGACTTAGCTAAAATATATAAATCTGACAGAAACTGGTTCTATCGTGAAAACTTACCGATTTCAATGACACCGAATGAGCAAATAAAGGAAATTGTCAAAAATACTCTTCCTCAAACACACTATGACATCAAAGGTTGCACAATACTTACATTCAAAGAAGACTTAACATTACTGAAGGAAAAAATAACAGAATATTTCGATAACTTCAAAGAGGAAGAATGAAGTCACGACAACATTAACGAAGAGAGAATGAGGTGAAAAAAGAGGTGAAAAACGGGTGAGATCTCACCTCTTCACCTCAATTATATTTTTGTGCTATATTTACACTCATTTACGAAGAAGTCATGAATCCTACGTCAATTATGTTCGACACTGTAAGCATTAACGATAACATTAACGAAGCATCATGCTGTTCGCTCTTTCGTACCTGTTGTCAAAATGTCATGTTGTCATCATTTTTAAAAGAAGTTAATTAACCTGGTGACACATGGTGACGTGGTGACACCATCAGTTATTCAAAAATATATTTTTGCTTAAATAGCTTCAGGGTCTATTTCTTCAACCATTTCACTTCCTTCGTCAATGTCAATAGAAGCTTCTTCAACCTTTGGTAAGAATTTCTGTATAACATCTTTGTTCGTTATTGTCTTCAGAGATGAAGGATAATATTTCACAGATGTTTCACCGTTCTTATATTCTTTCTGTTCGGAAAGATTTAAAGCAATACTGAAGAAGTCAATATTAGAGTTCTTTATAACAGTATAATGAGTATCTTTGACATTCACGAAGAAACTCTTTTGTTTCAAAACTACTGCTAACTCTTGTGAAGTATAACGTTTGCTGTCAATGACGATAGCTAATGGTCTGACATACTGACCAAACTTAGATTCTTTCACAAACTTCTTGTTAAAGATAACATTAACATTTGAAGCATTATTGAACTCATTCTTGATGGCAGTAGCGAGAGCATTGTATGAAAAGAACTTGCAATCTTGCATGTGTTTCATTAAAATAAAAATATTAAATTATTTTGAAAAATAACTTTAAAAAATCTAATCTAATTTTTTCAAAAAATATTTTTTTTATTTCCTACTAAAGATGTATCGGAAGTTGTCTAAGTTAGAACACTCGGAAATAAAACAACTTCTTACAGAAGCTAATATAGATGTTGCAAAGCATTACGCAACAAACAAAAAAGCACTCGCTGACTTCATTAAAGACTATAATGGTGCAATAAGTTATGATAGAATTCATGAGTTCATAAAGCCGCAACGCGGCGAGGACGAAGTCCATGCAAGAGCATTTCCTTTAAATGACGTTGCTATTGACTTATATCATAGACGTTCAGTACCTCATGAAGTAAGAAGAGAAATGTTTGACATAACAAATGCAAACGTTGGTGAAACAAGAAGAAGAGACGACACACTGAAACAACAGAGAAGAGAGATGTTTAAGAGCGCTATAGAACAAGTTCGCAAAGCTAACGATGTCATTCGTTCCATTGACGACAAACCAAAAGAAGGTGAGAGATGGTTAAAGAAAGATGAAGAGAATAGGAAGAGAAATGTGAAGTCAGGCAATAGACTCATTGACTTTAACATCGAAGCTTTAGATGAACCAAACAGAGACTACTTACACAAACATTTCGGTAAGGTTTTCATGAGACTCTTAGAGAAAATTAAAATAAACTCACAACAGAGATGGATGGTATGTTATAAACTTGGTGGAAAGTATGAATGTTCTACGTTAAACCTCAATAATATTGGAACATTACTACATCAGCTCTTGAAGGAGAACTTTATATCAGAGATAGAAGCAAATGCTGCAGGTATTGTTGAAATGCACTATGACTTCTTCTTGACAAACATAAAGAATCTTACCGAAATAAAGATGTATGATTTAACAGAATATGAAGGCTTAACGATGTCAGATGTAAAGAAAGGCAACCCAAAAAAGAGACCATATAGAGATGAAAGCACACTGACAAATGACCAGAAAGCCATTTTGGAAGCTCTTAAGCAAACAGGAAACCCAGCACTTATAGAAAGCTTTTGGAAAGATAATGGTGAAAAGAAGTTTTATAAGAAGAGAAGCGGTCAGTTCTGGAAGTATCTTTGCACATTACCTATAAATCTTGAGCGCTACCAAATCTTCAATGAATTGAACAAAAGAACTGCAGCACTTATGACAGAAGACAATTGTTTCGTTTATGCTTGCATTCAGGCTGGAGTAGATGGAGAGACTATTGACCACATGAGAGAAGTCATTCGTGTTAGAGACTTTCCTCAAAGTAAAGTACAAGAAATTTCTGACGCAACAGGTATAGCATTTAATGTTACCATTGGTTATTTCAATGACTCAAGACATAATGAAATAAAGAGATACATACCAAAAGAATGTGAAACTGTTCGAACTATTGACTTACTTCTTGTTGAAGACCACTACATGCTAAATGAAAGATTACCAATGACAACATATTTCGTCAGAAATTACAAAGAAATCTTGAAGGAGTGTGGTGGAATGAACATTGAGAAACAAATGAAGATTTATACAAAGAGAGAAGATAAATATGTAGTTCGTTATGATAGAACAACACCGTTATGGGATGTTATGAAAACATTGTGGGAGTGCAAATATTTCGAACCTATTTCTTATGGAGAACTTTTCACATATACGACTGACTTATATAAACAGAACCTTGCACCATTTAAAGATTTGACATATGCTCCAAAGTATTGTGTACAACTGAAGAAGAAAGCCGAGTCAAAAGAAGTAAATAAAAATAAGTGCAAGTTCATTCCTGAGCACGTTTTCTTTGCTGACTTTGAGTGTAGCACAGACGGCTTTCATAAAGCTTTTAACATCTGTTATGACAGTGAAGATGGTTCAGTGAGTGAAAGCATTTGGGGTCAGAACTGTGCAACAGAATTTTTGGAACGACTTCCTGACAAGAGTTTAATATATTTCCATAACCTCAGTTATGATATAAACTTCATCTTAAGACACATGACAGAAGTGAAAGGAACTCCCATCATTAAAGGTTCACGAACAATGCAAATAACTGGCTTATATAAAGGAAGGGCAATTATTATAAAAGACTCTTACAGTGTTATAAATAAGAAGCTTAAACTATTTCCTGCTATGTTTAACTTACAAACAGGACCGAAAGAAGTATTTCCATACAACTACTACAGCAGTGTTTTGTTAGCAAATGACAACAGAACTGGTGTCATTTCTGAAGCATGTAAGTTTGTAAAAGATATTGATACATTCATGAAAAACATAGATTCCATCAAAGGTTGCAGAATAGATGAAAACCACTTCGACTTAGAAAAGTATAGCACATTTTATTGCAAACAAGATGTAAGAATTTTAAGAGAAGGTTTTGTTAAGTTCCGCAATGACATATTGAAAGAATTTGATTTAAACGTTTATGACTACGTTAGTATTTGTTCAATTGCTAACAAATTATTTGAGAACAGAGTGTACTTCCCGAATGGAAATTTATATGACCTCTCAAATAAACCAAGAGAATTTATTTCACGCTGTATTCAAGGTGGAAGATGTATGCTGTCAGATAACATGAAACAAAAGAGCGAAAAGAAACTCATTGTTGATTTCGACGCTGTTTCATTATATCCATCGCTATAGCAAGACTTTATACTTTAGAAGGTATTCCAAAGGTTATGAAGAAAGAAATGTTAAGCACAGAGTATCTCATGAGACATTTATTCGATGACGACCAAAAGGAACCCATTGGTGAAAAGTTTATGTCTGGCTTCTTTGTTCTCATTAAGATAACAGAGATTGGAATACATAGACACTTTCCTTTAATAGTTTGTGACCCTGAACTAAATCCAGAACTTAACGTTCCCAGAAGTTCAAACACTTGCTGTTTAATGTATGTTGACCATATAACATTACAAGACCTCATAAAATATCAAGGTGTCAAATGTGAAGTGTTGCAAGGATACTATTACGATGGAAACAGAGATATTAGAATAAGAGATGAAGTAAAGAAGTTGTTTGAGTTAAGGTTAAAGTATAAGAAAGAAGGAAATCCTTTGCAAGAAAATATAAAGCTCATTCTGAACAGTATTTATGGCAAAACTATTCTATCTCCTATTGAGTCAAAAATAACCATAGTAAATGACAAAGATGCTATAAGATATGCCATCAGAAACTACAACCATATAGTGAAGTTCGAAGGTTTGGATGGTTCAGATAAAACTATTTTCAAGCTAACGAAAAGCATTTGCAGACACTTTAACTTCTGTCCACTTGGTGTTAACATTCTGTCTATGTCGAAGAGAATAATGTGTGAAGTATTCTGTACTGCTGAGGACTTAGGAATGGACATCTTTTATAGCGATACGGACAGTATGCATCTCTACAATGAAGATATCCCTCGTTTAGCTGAAGAGTTTGAGAAACGTTATGGAAGAGTTCTCATTGGTAAAAACCTTGGTCAATTTCATAGCGACTTTGCAGAAATCACACCTGGAAAACAAAGTTTAGCATACAAGTCAATATTTTGTGGAAAGAAGACTTACATAGACTTACTCACGAATGATTTAAATGAAGTTGCATTTCACTGCAGAATGAAAGGCGTGAAGCAAGATGTTATTGCTTTAACCGCTAATGAAATGTTTCCTGACTCTGTTCAGTGTTTCTATGATGAAGATAAAGGTTTAATGGTTCCTCAAGGAACATATGACAAAGACTCTGAGTTCAGTTTAATGAAGTTATATAAAGCACTTTATGACGGTCAAGAGATGGGATTTGACTTATGTAAGTCATGTCAACCTTGCTTTGAAGAGAAGTTTAACTTCTCAATAACGACTAAAACAAGCTTTATTCGTAAGTTGAAGTTCTGAGGTCATTTATTTTTGTCAGCAATGAGGTCATTCGTGATAAAAATAAGCCGCTAGCGGCAAGGGCGAAGCCCATGTGGTCATTTACAATACTGCGATGGTAGAGTTTAAGAGTTGTGCTTCAATGCAGAGACAGTCCTTATGGTCTGGAGGTAAGAACACTGGGCAGTTATGGTCATGAGTGGAGAACATGTCTATCCAAAACTCACGATTGAAGCCAGTTAATTTATAGTATTTAGGGTTAGGAAGTGGTGAAGTTCTTGTATGACCAATGAACTCATTTTCAACTCCCTTACTTAAGTTTGAATATAATATAGCTTGCTTTCTATCCCAAATGCCTGGAAATCTAATTTCGGAAAAATCATTTTTCCTCGGAAGCATTGCATCATAATTGAAAACATTCTTGAAATCATCACTTGGTTCAGAGATTTGAAATCTTATACGTAATGGATTTTCTTTCTTTTTAGCTACTTCATTGAATGGTGAGAATACAATGAATTGACAGTCATGTGTTCCATCTTCATTTTCAAACTCGTAATGAAAGCTATTAATCTTTCTACAATTCCTTCTTCTTTCAGTTGTGCAAGAAACTCACGTAAAGGCTGTAAAGTTTGTACTTCAATGTTAAACTTTTTTGAAAATTTCTTAAATGTAATATACAGTCTTCTAACGTTGTATCGTCTTTAAAGTATTTGTATATGTGAATGTTTTGGGCGCTTAAAGACTGTTCGTCATTTTCTATCTCGACTTGAAGTATAAAGTCAACCTTTCTGAAAGCACGTGTTATATACATATGTTATGCCAATGTACTTCTCTTCATTTATGTTCACAATCCAGTCTGTTGGAAACTTAAACGTTACTCTGTTCCCCTTTATTTTGACGTCAGGGTTTTCACTACTGAACGCAACAGATAAAGGTATTTGTCTATACATTTAATTCGGATAAAAATAAACCATTTACTCTTTCTTTGCTTCAGCTTCTTTAGCTTTTGCTTCAGCTTCTTCTCTAGCTTTCTTCGCCAGCAAACGTGGGTTCTTTTGTCTTCCAGCAGCTAATGCAGCAAGTTGTTTTTCACTAAGTTTTCTCTTTGGTCTCTCTGGCTTTTGTTCTTGTTTTTGTTCCTTCAGTTCGGATAAAATTTGCTCACGAATTTCTTTCTTCAATGCTTCAACATCTATGACCCCTTGGGTCTTGTCCGTAGGGCTTGTCTGAGTCATTTGACTGCAGATAAAAAACAAAATTAAAACTTTAACCGATGTAAAATGAGCTTGTCAAAATCAGAGCGAGAGTCTATTATATTAAATGACGCAAGAGGAATACAACATCCTTTCTATTACGTAAGTCAGAGTAAAGATGGTAAAATATACGTAAGAAAAAGAAAGGTTCCATTAGCGAATGCAGAAAGCGACAACATTAAGGTGTATGGCAAGGGTGAAGTCCACGAAGCCCATATAAAACCTTCTGTTCAAACTGAGCCACCAAAAGAACAGAAGAAAAGAAGCCAGATGTACTTTCAATAACGAACCAAGAGCTTATTGCAAAGTTCGTGAATTTCATTGAAAAACAAACCGAGTCAAAGAATCCTGACCCGCCAGTGAAAGAAGTTGAGACAAAAGAGAATGTACAGTTCATTGAAAATGTCAAGAAACAACTTCCACCACGAATGCCAAGAAGAAGAGTGAGAATAATGAAGTAAATAGATATTTTTATCTGAAGTAAATACATGCAGAACGAACAGCTAAACGAATTTACTCCAGCAGAGCATATTCATCAGATTCGCTCATATTTCGATATCATAGACAATGCAGTTCAAATTGGTGACACTAATAGAAAATATTCTGACGCAAAGATTCCATCACAACCTGGAACTGCTAAAGATAACACATGGGTAACATTCAATCTCTCACCTCCTGGTGAAAATATGTTGGACCTTTACAATACATTCATTACGTATAAAATGGAAGGTCAATTTATTGTAGATAAAGAAATTGGTTCAGGTTCCAATAAAACAAACCCACCAGGATTTTGGATTGGTTTCGATGACGCTTTCTATGCAGTTGCTGGATATCAAATCCTTGCAAATGGTCGTATCGTATATTCTCAAGACAACGCAAGAGAAGAAGCATATATAACTTCAAACTCACAAACTACCGAACAAATAAAGAAAGTAGATGTTTTCTCAAAGACTCGACATGAAGATGTATGGAGTCATTCGGGAACATGCAGAACAGGACAAATTGTTAGTGGTCCAATTACAGCAGGAAAATCATTTGATTTTAAGCTTCGTTTAAGAATTCCTGTTAGAAGATTCCTTCCATTAGAAGCTATTCGATTTATTCCAGCTTTTGCAGGAAACATTCAGCTTAAAGTAAAGTTCAGTAGCGACGCCTTACAATGCACATCTATATCTGTAAATGATATCATTGCTTTCAATCCAACTCTTAAAGTTGCATTTGCTTCAGATTCAAATCCACCGACAAATAAATTTGTTCCATGGAATGAACCATTCACTATGATAACGAAGGCAGTAGAAGCTAGTGGAACAGTTACTATTACAACTGTAACCCAGCAACTATTTCGAACAAAGATGGATTTTAATGAATGTTTCATTCATCCAAAGTCATTCTCTTTAGACCCTAACATTTATACAGAACTTGTAGAACATTATACAAACGAGGCTTTATGTTTTCCTGTTAAAGTTATGGATTGGATTCCTATGGACGGTTCATTCTCAAAGAATACAGATAGTTCAAGTGCAACATTTACAGCAGCTTATACGCCTATTAATGTTAAAAGTATTTGGGCACTATTTAGAAAGAAAGACAACTATTATGTTAATTTTGAGAACCCTAAGTTTAAATATCTTCAGCTTTCCATGGGAGCTTATGGAAATATGCCTGCAGAACCTGAAAAATCATATGGACCTGTATTTTATGAAATGGTTGCGAACGCTGCAATACAAACAATGATATGATAGGATTTAATGAAGATGTTATGAGGTCATTGGTGGATGATGGTAGTGTGGAACATAAATGGGATAGCTATGACAACACACATTTCTTATGTGGTTTTCCAACAGAAGTGGACTTTTGCTTCCAGCAAGGTCAAACATCTACTGCTCCAATAACATACAAATTGTCTGTTAAAGGACCTATTGAACTAGCAACTGAAAATGTACCAAAGCCACTTATTGGATTTATGAGGGATTGTTGCTTTGCCATTCAGGTGCGTGCTAATGGCATCCCATAATAAGATTAGATGACTATAACTTAGCTACGGACGACGGTGAGGAATAAAGGATGAACGTTTATTTTTAAAGCTTATAAATGAGTTCTTCATCAAGCTCTCGTGAACCTTCACCATCTATGAAACAAACTTTACCAAACGATTATGGAGCACCTATTGAATATTTCTTACGAGCTGCACAATGGCAAAGAGCAGTCTCACCAAGGTTAGGTGTTCCACCAGCTCCTGTCAAAAATAGCATTTGGTCAAGTCCTTATATAAAATATGGTCTCCCACTAGGTTTGCTAGCTACAGCAGGAGCAGTTATGATGTTGAAAAGAAATAAAGCAAATGTTGTAAATAATACTGAAGTAGCTGAAGTTAAACAAACTCCAACACCTTCGCAAAACCTTCAATGACTCCTGAACCTATGGAAGTACAAACTCCTGTTCAAAAGTCAACTCCTAAACCGACTCCAACATTTAAACCAGAACCTACTCCTCAAATAAATCGTAAAACTCCTGCGTTTCCTTACTGAAAAAATAACGTTATTTTTATTTAATATTAAAATTTTTATTTGATTGAAATGACAAATAAAGTCACTGAAGCAATGAAACAAAAGTTTTTGGTAGAATACATTAAATCAGGAACTATTCCAGAAGGTTTTTACATTCATACTATGAAGGATGGTAGAGTTCAGTTTAGAAAGATAAAGCAACCATTAGATAAAGAAGGAATTTTGAGAAAGATTAAACTTCATGAGGACAACATTGCTGAACTTAAGAAGAAGCTAGAAGAGTTGGAGAAAGGAAGAGAGTTATAAAGCAATGAATTCAACAGGGTGAAAAAAGAGGTGAGATCTCACCACTTCACCTAAATTTATTTTTGTGCTATGTTTTCATACGTGTGAGGGTGGTGATATCATTAATTTTGAAGTTTATTTTTTATTTTATTTTATATAAATGACGAAAACTATTGAGATAACAAACTACAACGGTCATGAGTTCAAGAATTTGTTCTTCGTTCCTCGTGAAAATACATTCTATCAGATACGAGGGAGAAAGGGTAAAGTTAGTTTGAGTGTTTATGAAGGAATGAAGAATGGAAAGTTTATACAAGCATACGATACAAACGGTAAACGTGTTTCATTAGCTTTGTCAAAACTTACTAACATTTATTTTGACAGTGATTTTAACCTATATGAAGAAGAAAGTGAGTCAGAAGATTATGAGCTGTTATGTGAAGCACAGCAATGGGAGGAGTTGCAATACTTTTGTAAGTGAGAACGTTTATTTTTTACATTAGTGAAGTCGTTTGTGAAAACGTTAGTGAGGTGAAGTGGTTGGCAGCTTTGTAAATATTTAAGGTTAAGTTAGTGTTGTCGTTTGTGTTGTAAAATATACGTTAACGGTTTCGTAAAGTGTCAAATTCACATATAATGGGTACGGTGGAACGCAGTGCCTCCGTACACATGATATGTATACTAACTGCTTGGATGGATACTGATATAGTTTGATTCTCTTCCACTATTGTCGGTTCGCTTTCCGACATGAGATAAAATTGAAGGTTTAACGTACTTTTGATACTCTGAGTTAAAAAAGATTTTCTTAACATAATTTGATTTATTGGTCCTTAAAAAATTCTGATTCAAAATTGAATTGAATCGAACGAGTTTTCCTTTTGAGTCATTTCAAATATTCATGAGAAAGAAAAAAATACTAGCAATTTCAAATATTTTTGATTTGATTGAATTCAAAAGTGTCACAAATATTCAATGAGAAAGAGAAAAGAGATCGAATATGTTGTTTCTGAGCGAATAGTCAAGCAATATTTCGTTAAGTACAAAGATCAGCATCCGGAAAAAAATAAATGGGTATATCAAAATGAGATTCCGCAAGAAATTTTTGAAAAATATCTAGAAACGAAGAAAACAGAAAATATTGATGAAATGTTACGCTGTACTCGAATTGTTCATGTTGTTGATCAAGATAAAAAAGAATTTTATCTTGAATTTTCAAAAAAAAATCAAATTCATCACATATTAAACAAGAATCTAGATGAAGAACATCAAAAGGCTTATATAGATTATCTTGAAAGTTTACTCAAACTTGAAATAAAAAATAAAAATTAAATTAACCCTCGTTAGGATATCGTTGCAAATAAAGATCTGTTTCTCAGAAAGATCCTGATTTTCTGATAAATATTCTGTTGTAACTTCTACAAGGTTTAAGATATGAAAAACATTTTTGAATATTTCATCGCTATCAAATCTGCGGAAACATCTGGAATATAATTTCAAATATTTGTGAAGATTTGAATTCTCAATTGCATAATTAATTAAAAATTCATGTGAATTTAAAAAATCGGTAGATAAATTTGCATGGGTATAAGAGGAAGTACACAATAATACCCCTGAACTACATACTCTGTAAATGAATAGTGAGGAGAAAGACTTCGCAGAATTTCAAGTGTTTTTATGAATTCTAAAGCCATCTCAGATGTTATATCGACTGCTTTATAAAATAAAACTATAAATTTGAGAAGATAAACAAAATCTTCGTTATTTATAATTGAATTCACGTCATTAAAAAAGTTGAAATAATTTGATATTAGTATATCCGAACATGGAAGAGCAGTTGCATATCCTGGGTAATATTTTAATAATTTTGTAAAGAAATTTGCAATTGCATAAGTTGAATATTGATTTTCGTACTCAATAATACTAGAAAAAATTTCTTTCTTGAGTAAAACTGCGTTTTGGAAGAATTCAACGTCAAGAATATTGTTTTTAATCAAAGCAATAAATGTATCGATGATATAGAGAGAATTGTCACTGCTGCTTATGAAACGTAATATCTCATCATATTGATCGGAAAATGTTGATAAATAAAGGTATTGTATGTTATCTAAAGCTTTAAAATGAATTAATTTTAATGAAAAAATGAAAAAAATCTGGTTAATATAATGCGATAAATATTCGAATAAATTTTCCAGTAGTATCAAATCTATTTGAAAGATATTCGAAGAAGTGATATTTTGAATTGTGAATTTTAATATTGTTTCATTTTGTGTAGATTGCTCGATAATGAAATGTATCAAAAGATTCATTGAATATGAGTCAATGGAAAAGCTTAAATCCTTAGGGATATCCAAAATAAATCTTAATAAAGAAGATTCGTCTTGAAAATTAGCTTCCGAAAGTTCTATTTCAGTCGGAGCTGGAAGATTCCGATCATTTATGAATCTCGAAACGACAGAAAATTTGTATTGTTTATATTTCATTATTCGAAATGATAAACTTCAAAATCTAAAATTTATTTTTTTACAATATATTTCATCCTATTGTCAAGGCTAAATTTTTCACCGGAAGTGTATCAAAAATTGATAAGATTTACGGTGATCTAATTATGACAATTCAATGCATCTCGTGATATAACGCAGATATAAACACAACTGATATTGCATAACTAATAATTGAGTCAAATAACTAAATTATGTGTTATATTTTACACATATTTCTTCAATTTTGTAATAAATGGATGTTTAACACTAATTTTTTAAGGACTTCGACTTTAGCATCACATAAATATGTTATTTTCTATATTAAAACGTAATTTTGGTGGTCTTAGAATAGAAAAATATGCAATATTCGTGGAGATAATGAGGGTTCTTAAACATGTTCTTAAAAATAAATAAAATAATACAAATCTTTATTCAATCTTTTGATATTGTTGGTCCTCTCTTTGTGAAAATACTTAACTTCAAAGAGTATTATGTTTTACCTAGTGAGGACCTTAAGTTTGCAAAAACATAATAAAAGTAAAATAAAAAAGATCGGATTTATCACAAAACTTTGAGTATTATAGGATTTAATATATTTTCTTAGTAGATTATATGATTTAGTTTCTTAAAATCTAAAGTATTTCTTGAGGAAAATATAAATTGAAATTCAAAAAGTAAAAAAAAATGTAAACAAATCAAATTTTAAATGGACCAAATGTTGATTTTTCATTCGTTTTCTCATTATCGAAAAAAATTTGGAAAGCTAAGAAGTCAATAACAAGTTATATAATACAACAAAACCCACATCGGATATGTTTTCATCAAATAGTCTCCTAGATTTGTTATGAAATTAAAATATCATGATATTTTAAGGGCTTTTGATTTCAATATTAGAATTATTCAGTTATGTCGTGCTAATATCAATTGCTTTATACAATTAATCGTTTACAAGCTGCAAAAATCGAACAATAATTTGACTTTGTAAAAAAAGTGCGTCATTTTTATTCGTTATACTTACAAAATGTAAACATTACGAGAAACATTTACATTTGTAAATGTAACAAGTAAAGTTGTATCGCATAATTTGACTTTGTAAAAAAAGTGCGTCATTTTTATTCGTTATACTTACAAAATGTAAACATTACGAGAAACATTTACATTTGTAAATGTAACAAGTAAATACATCAGATTTAAATTGTAAATGTAGTTTATCTCTCTCATCTCCTTTTTAAAAGGTATTACATACATACGAACGCATGGGTCACTCAATAATTAGCGTGATAATAATTGAGGATAGACTGTAATCGTAATTTTATTTTTGGACTTATATTTCGACATTTTGAAGTCGCTTGAAAGTCTTGCAAATGATTAAATTTGGAAAATTTGACCTAAGTCTGCATTATTTTGATGACTTAAACAATTCTATAAATCTGTTTTCCTAAAAATTTAAAAAGATATAATTTCAATTTCCCTAAATTTATGTAATTCATATATCACCAAAATATTTGGACTGCATTTCGTTTGTCTGCACCTAATTAAAGTCTAAATACCAATTAATTTTGGAGTTGCATTGCTTTTAATGTAAAAATGCACGTTTAGAAAAAGACGATAACGATTAAATTACAAAATCGATAACGACGATGATTAAATTACAAAATCGATAACCTCTCAATTTTCAGTCTCTCAATCAACGGTAAAGCAATGAGGAGAAGGAAGGATGTTGTTAACCTGCATTTGTACATTCGTTCGAGGTAGGCAGATACAACATCCATTTTGACTCCGATTTGCTCCATCCTCATTACGATGCGATTGTGGTCTCTGAAGCTCTGGGCTGTGCACCTTTTATGCTTGTTCATATGTCTTGTCTCAATAATGTCCTTGAAAATTTGCGGATCGATTTGCTCTTGCATTTGGAAAATATTTTTTTGTCAGTAATTTTAATTTCAAAATACTACTCTCAATTTTTTTGTTTATTTTTGAAAAGTTGTTTACTGATATAATATGAACCCTAGATATTACATGACTTATGAAAAGCAAAAACTACAAATAAACCAAGTATATATGAATTGAAAGTATACTTTCAAAAAATAATTAAATCCGAAAATGTTATGAGTTACGAAAATTAATTTTAGACTGCAGTAAGTCGATCTCTAAAAATTATAAAAAATTTTAAGAATCATCGGCATATATTTGATATTCAAGAAATGATTTCTACTACGAACAACAGGCTATGAAGTATCGTTTTTGGTTCAAATTAATTTCAAGATTGATATGGTTTAAAACAATTTCAGCGTCTTTTTTACAGTTTTTAAATTAAATGGATATCAAATGTAGACTGTTTCTACAACATCTGAAGTTAATGACTCACAAACTTATTTCTTAAGTTTATACTCTGAAAAATATTTCTGATAACGTTCAAAAAACCCCAATGATTTCATAACAAATATCATTTCAAATCTTATTTAATTTATTTACGTTTCTAAACAAATCATTTTTTTAACATTTTTCTATAGTACACAAATTTTTTTTTGTTTCAAATTTTCACTTCCTTTTTAGTCCTTCCAAGCTGACATATTGTTAAACATCGATATTTTTTAAACATGGATATAACTCCTAATATCTCCAATACGAAATTTCGGTCCTTGAATTGCCGGTTGGATTTCTCCGTTTGACCACGGTCAAATTTTAATGAAATATAGGAGTACTTTTGATTTGCATTTCGTCCCATGAAGAACCAAATATCAATTTAAAAAGTTAAAAATCTCATGACAGAATTAAATTGAACGTAATTGCTGGCTAATTGCAAGGTGCTCTTTTATAGTATTTGATAGAGACAGCAATAGTCAAAATTGCAAGAAAAATAACTTTTTATTATGACCTAATTAAATTCTTTTTTTATCTGCTTTAATAAACTTTACAGATTAATATAAATTCATTATAAATATTCCAGTTGAATATATTCCAATCGATTTCAAGTAGATTCCATTACACAATTTTAATTGAAAAAATAATCTAATATCCAAATCGCATTTCATGGTCAAATATTTAATCACCGAAGTTATATAAATCAAAATATGCTTATCATCCATTATTTACATCAAGTAATTATAAATTGGATTTGCGTTGTATTTATATTTTGCTGTCTATATCATATGAATAGATCCAACATTATGTATCAAAATAAATCTACATATTTAATGTTAATATAATTACAATTTTTTTTGAAAATCATCTGAAACTGAATTTTCATTAATTTGATTGATTTTTACATAGTCTTTTAGATATGCTTGCAATATGTGTTACATTCATAATCCCAATTTCTTTATATTTTTGAATTTAATTTCAAATGTTGCATTTAACTAGCAAAAGGGGAATTCACTTATATATAAACTTCTATTCAAGTTTTCAATTAATTTGGTTATTATTTTTATTTTGCAACAATTTTCAAACAATGAAATCGGAGTTAATTCATATTCTCATCTGTCATTTATTCAAATTTTCAACAGCGGCTATGAATCATCATTGAAACAAGCATTAAAAGAATTGAAGGTTATATCATACAGTTGTATGTGCTCCATTTATAGAGATAGAAATCTTTGAACTTTTATTTTTTATATTTCAAAATAACTAATTAAAACAATTGTTATTCTGATACAGTTGTTTCTTCCAAATAAAAATATTATAATTCACTAATTTTTAAATAGTATTGACGGTTAAAAAAATTTAAAATGTTATACTCTCTCAATTTTCTGAGAATGAAAAAAAATTCATTTTAAGTGATTTTAAACATAAAATTCTTTATTTTAAATATGGGGATAACAACATTTTGTTGTGTTATCAATAATGAATTGGTATTCATTGCGTAGAATTGAGAAATTCTTCCTTCGAATTATTATCATACAATATTAATTTCGAGTTGGGCAGACAAATAGTTATAAGTCGGATCATCATGGATAGATGGTGCATTTCTCCTTCTGCGTTCAAGATTCGATGGCGTGTTTTACCTTGAGTTGAAGCCCCATAAAGCACTTTTATTTTATGGATTTTATTTTTTTATTCAATCTCAAAAATATGAGAGATTATAAACATTTAAATTTTATTTCTCAGTCAATACTATGCTAAAATGATATTCAGCAATTTTTGGGGTAGGGATTTTTTGGGGAGCGACCGAGGGGAGCCCCCCAAAATCCCTACCCCAAAAGTGAATAACATTTTGCAAACATTTAAACTTTAATATATAAAAAGATTAACAAACAAATATATATATATAAAAACAAAAAAAAACATATATAAATATTATTGATCTTGAACAAAATCCATTCCGATATATGAATTCAGCACGAACAATTTCTTTTCTACTAATCTATTCGCTTTGAATGGACTCAACTTTGACTTATCATCAATCATTTCGTACGCGTCATCAACAAACAAAATCTTTCCTGGAGGTGCCAAATCCATCATGTCGAAACATTCAACTAAAGGCATTCCAAAAACATCAAAAACAGTCTTCGAAATTCCAGTCATGCAGCCGTAAACAGGGCCTCCATAACTCATTACACAAGTGACTAATGATTCACACTCTGTGTACGAATTAATAGAATAAGCAACTTCATTTGCAAATTGTATCATTTTCACAATACTTTCATTTGCATTTTCTTCTTTAAATAGACCAGAAATGAATATGAAATTTCCATTTAATGGTCTTATTCTTGTGATATTTTTGTAATTCATCATTACTCTGTCAATAAGACTTAAACAAACCTGTGTTATATCAGCGTCATCGAGCACTAATTTGTTGTTATTCATGCTTTCATTTGATGACTTCAAACACAAACTCAAAACAGAACTTCCCTTCGAAACAAAATTCGAAAATTTTTTGTCTTCCATTAAAATTCCTGTAATTTCATCAGGAACTAATCTCTTCAACAAAGAATGTACATTCTTATTTAACTGTTCAAGTTCTTTCTTCATGTCCATTATATCTGTTTGGTTCCTCATAGTTAAAGCAAAACTTAATCTAATATTTCCAAACAAAGGAATTAACATTCCGCTGAAAAATAAATCAGTTTCATCTTTTGTAGTAATAATAAAATCAAAATATCTCTTTGCTCGAACACCATAAGCGTTTTTCATCATTAACATGAATGAATAAAAATCTTTGTTTTTCGAAGGATTAATTATTTTTTCTAATCTCAATGTTTTGTCTCTTTCCAAAACAAAGCCAAGATTTGCTGTTGCTTGTTGATTCATACCTGTTATATGCAATTGATTATCAAAGAATAAAACACAATCTCGTAATTGAGATGCAATTATTTCTGACATTTTTTCCATGTCGAAATTTTTGTTGTCAATCGTATGAAAATTCAAAACATTCATCATAATAGAAACTGTCGCAGTATATTTCGAATGAATAATCAAAACTAAATGTCTTAAATTCCTTGAAATATAGTATTGCATTGTTAAAAATCTATAACAAATAATCAAATAAATGAAAAACAACAAGAAAGTTATCAACCAATGGAATATTTCAGCATATTTCGCATTGGAATCATTAAAAGTTGTATTAAAATCATGATATTCATTGTAAATCGGCGTCAACATGTCTAAAACAGAAGAAATAACATTCAGTTTTTCTGATCTATTATAACTCTTATAATCATCAATGAAAACATTCCATTTCGAAAGTATAAATTGCAAATTCTTATCAATATCTCCAGTAAAATTCACTTTTTTCGGATAAATTTCAACAATTCCTGATAAATTCGCAAATGATGAATCAATTTCTAATAATAAATTTGAAATTAACTCAAGTTCTATCTGCTCCATGACTTTATTAGTAATATACATCTTTCTAGATTGCTTGTATGATTCTGTAGTTATAGGAACAATAGAATATCTTATTATAAACAAACAAAAAATAAAAACTAAAAAAGTTCTTGGAATTGCAGGGTCATACACCTTAAAGAAAATGGGTGCCGTCAAATATTCTTCGATTAAATCAGTATCATCGTTATTATTCAAATTCGTTTGGTTCTCATCTGCTTCTATCTCTTCCAAATCCAAGGCACCATCATTATCAACAACTGTCATAAATTCTGAGTCGTAATCGTTTATGGCGGTTGCGGTTTGATGTAAAGTGACAAATAATTTTGATCTGAATTCTTCCAAAGTACTCATCTCGATATTCGCGAATACCTCGACTATTTTGTTTAAGTTCCTTTTGTATCTCACTAAAATAAAATATATCAAACAAATAAAAACTAAAAGTGACACTCCAACACAAACAAAAATTTGTCTTTGAGAACCTTTTAAACTCATTTGCTTCGTACATAATAAATACCTCCCTGTTAAGTTTTTGAATAAACTATCAATACTAACAAGTTGTTTGTGACCGTTTAAAATATGTTTGTAACCATTTAAATCATCAGAAAAAAATATTTCTTGATCAGCCATGAAATTATAAAAAGTGTCAGGAAAATTTGACACGTTTTCTCCCGCACCATCAAATATAAGTTTTCTGTCATTAGGGCAAACCAAACTATTCAAATAAAGCTTAATATTCGATATAGATGTTGGTGACAAATCATCAAAAAGTGACATATTTTTTGACAAATAAACTTTTGTGTAAATATCAATATTTCTTAACAAAAGGAAGTTCTTGAAATGTATTGGCGAATGATAATGATCGAAATAAATGTCTGGATCGAAAACAGTTGATATAGTATAATATCTTATTGAAACAATAGGAAACAACAAGAAAAAACCTAAAACAAAACATAAAAATATCATTAAATTAATGGTATAAAATGGAATTTGATCAATTAAATTTTGATAATTCAAAAGTTGTTCATGTGTCACGTTTTCATTCAAATTATTCGGCATATATTTTTTGTTGGAAAGGAACAAGTGGTTTTCATTTTCCATTTTGATAAAAGATATTTTGACTTCATCCGCTTTTTTCTTGAGTTTTTCGATTCTTTCGAAATCTCCGCCGATTTTTGACAAAAAATCAGAATAACATTCATTCAAATCCAAAGCCAAAGGACTTCCTTCAAGAGAATACTCAGCTAAGTCCATTAAATTCTGGCATAATATAGAATGGTTCAATGCACAAGTGAATCTCCTTTTATTTAAGTTGTTTTCGCAAAGAGAATTCACAAAACTATATAAACTTACTTTGACTTTCGATTTCAAATGTTCCAAAATGGAAATAGACCAGTCAACATCCATTTTAGTGACAATTAATTTGTCTATGTAATATTGGATTTGGCATAACAATGGTCTCCAATAAAAAATCAACCTTTTCTTGTCAATTTCGTTGATTTTTTTTCGTAATTGCAAAGGAATTATTGTTCTTACCATCAACATCCTTGAACATTCAAGAGTTAGTTTAAGATCCCGTTCACTATCAACGGCAGCAACTAATAATGTATGAATATCTTTGTAATTTTTGAGAATAAGATATCGACATAAAATTATCAAATAAAAAGTCTTAATTTGAGGTAATTGGACATTGTTATCAAGATCAAACAGATCATCTGGATCGAATTTGGAAATTTTTTCAATCATATAGCAAAAAAAGTTGAAAATTTGATTTCCTAAAAATAATTTCCATGAAACAACAGAAACAATGATCAAAATAATAGTTACACGTATACTAATCACTTTGGCGACAAATAATATCTCTAATATTAATATAAAACATGTAATTCCGAAGATATTTATAGCAAAAACATTTGATTTTTTTTCAATGTAAGGAAAAGTGCCAAGCCAAAGTAAACAAGCAGTGGAAAACGCTAGGGATAATCCCAATGATATGTAGATACCATAAGAAAAGTAATCATGCGTAATCCAAATGAGTTGAAGGATATTTGGAACAATTATTATCCAAAATGCGTCAAAACTGCACCAAAAAGCGTAAGAAATGCATCTCCTGCCGTACTTGGCAATTCTAAAGGCACAGCCAACGTATGTGTAATAAATTAAGACTAAAAATGATAAACTTGATAAAACTAGTAAAAGATAATTGCTTTTCCCATTGATTACGTCTTCAATCTGTCGCTTAAGACACTGAGCTGCGTAAAACAGTGATAATGGAGCGATTTCTTGTAAATTGAAATTTAATAAAATTGACGAGTGATGTATGAACAATTTGCCGAGGTTATAGAAGTAATATATGATATATAATGTAAATAAAAGAACGTATGAGAAAACAACTAAAGTCAGATAAGTACTATTGATAAATTCGAGAGTCATGATTTGATTGAGAAGTTTTCCGATGACTACGCAAAAGCGACTGCTATTTTGTGTTGAAAGGATAACTGGAATCAAAGAAAGCTTTAACAAAATTTGAAGTGAAAATATAATATCGACAACATTGCGTAAAAGGTAATTGGTTTCTTGCCTTATTGATATGTAGTGATAAAAATGATAGTATAGAGGCCAGTGATCAAGCGTAGTCCAGATAGGAAAGCCATTTTTCTCCATACAACAAAAGTTAGTAAGCACTTTTTTAGAAAAAAATTATTAATTTCGCAGGGCTAATCATTTGTAATATTTTATTCCAAATTCATGGTTTAATGTAAAAACTGTGGGGTTTACAATTATTCAAAATTTAGGATTTCTCAAACAATTCAGTAGTGAAAAGCAAAACCTTTCGTTAAAAAGATATGCATTTCTTGTATAGTGAAAAATATTTGAACTCAGATTTAAAATGGCGAAAGTTTCTGAAAGATAATTGAATTTCAATCAACATATTGAATATTTCGATTGTTGATTTAATATTTTTGCTTTTATATCCAAAATCAACTATCAAAAATTGAAGAAAAAATAATCGCTTGGTCAATTATTTTTGTTTGCGAAGTCAACCAAAATTCATATCCTACAAAATAAGTCTCATAGTCGCATATAATATTGGTTGGAGGGTATTAATGAAAGTTGAGCCATTGTTAATCATTTTTACCTGATTATTTTTCTTTTTTCTTTCGATTTTCTAGATGGTGCTGAATGGTTGCAATTGCAGATTTAGTCTTTGTGAGAAGCCATCATCGATTGATCCTGCTTGCGCAATTTCTCTTTTGAATGGTATCAAAACTCAAAATAACACATACCGGCTGTAATTTATCAAACCCACACATATTGTACTATAATAATCTGTTTTGAGCAAACTGTGAAGTCCAATAAAATTTCAAAATAACAAAAATACTCAATTTATCAGAGATACTCTCAATTAAAATTTGAACATGTACTTAGAAATTAAGATAACTGAATTGAAATTTAATTATGTATCATTTTGATTTTTATGTGAAATATTTACCCAAACATTATGTTTCATACACTCCCTTCCGCTCCTTCATCCATAGAAAAACCTAACTAAGCAGTTCAGTTAGTCTGAAAAAGATTTTTGTCGCAATATTGTTTTCAGATTTCGAACCTTATTTTTCGAACATCTAACTATAGATAAATATCAATAACTCGCTTGTTATAACTTCAAGAATATAAAGTATTTTGCCAAATTTCATCCTTTTTATTCATAAAAACGGAATTTCATTTATCTATGAGGGAAAAAAGTTTTGAATCATAATGTTCATGTTTATTGCCTAATTGATCGTTAGGATCCAAAAGTTCAATTCAACATCCAAAATTCAATAGTATTGAAAAAGAAAATCAAGTAACATTGATTGAGAAATAATGATAATTCAGATTTCTGAATTTTGTTTCAGATCGTTTTCTATCAAATTATTTTTAATGATAGTTCATATATTGATGTATATCGATGAACAATTAATATTTGTATTGTTTTGAGTTTTATATTTCAGTTGAAATTGAATGAATCTTGATTTTATGAAATTAATGTATAATTTCACCCATTTTTACAATAACAATATCTTATAATATTTTCGATTTCTCAGAATTGAGAAGTTTATTTAACTTCACCTTAAATTAATTTTTGTTATTGGTATAGAGCTAATGGTTGCTATAAATGTGCCTATCAAAAAATTGAAAAACGATGGGCTCTCAATTTGTGAAGCAATTGTTTAAATTGAGACACGTCGTCGTTTTGGTATTCAATTTTCTATCTTATTATACAATATAACTTTTAATGCTTTCTTCAACTAGTCAACGCACATTTACAGGTTCGAACTTTGCTAACTGCATTGAGTTTGTCCTGAATGGAAAGAAGATGGTCCTCGAAGAAGGAACATTCGATCCAACAATGTCTTTGGCCTCTTGGTTAAGATTGGACGAAACCAATCTTAAAGGTACAAAGATCGGCTGTGGTGAAGGTGGTTGTGGTGCCTGCACCGTACTTGTCTCCTCATTCGACCCAATTTCGAAAACAATTCGCCATAGATCGGTTAACTCTTGCCTTATGCCAGTTGCCCAGGTACATCACCAAACTATTACAACAATCGAAGGCTTAGGCACTGTAGAAAAAGGAATTAACCCAATCCAGCAAGCTTTTGTCGAGCATCATGGTACACAGTGCGGCTACTGCACTCCAGGCTTCATCATGAACGGATATTCTCTTCTCCTTGAAAATCCAAAGCCAACGACCCATCAGATTGATGAGCATTTCGATGGAAACTTGTGCAGATGCACCGGCTATCGTGGAATCCAAGAAGCAATGAGAGAATTTTCCACAGATAACAAACCAAACGATTCTTCTGTAAAGGATACATATCAGAAATCAAAGGCTACTAACGTTGTTCCTGAAGTTCCTATCGAATTCCAAGGATCATGCGAACACCCAGTTCGTTTGCACTACAAGAACTACGACTTCTACATCCCAACAACTGTTGAGCAGGTTTTGGAGATCAAGAAAGAAAATCCAAAAGCCGAAATAATTGTTGGTGGCTCAGAAGTCCTTATCGACATCAAATGGGCCGGTCCCACACGTCCAGTATATATCTCTACGCATCGTATTCCAGAACTCTACAACATTTCGATCAAAGACGGAAATCTTACTTTCGGAGCAAATACATCTCTCCAAGACATCGAGATGTTCTGCAAGCACCAGTTATCAGTTGTCAAGCCACACGAAGGCCGTATCCTTCGCGAACTTGCTGATCGCCTTGCAGTTTTCTCTTCTACACAGATTCGTAATACAGCATGCGTTGTTGGCAACATTGTCCATGCCGGCGCTGTTACAGACATGTCCAATTTCTTACTTGCTGCTGATGCAATCTTACATATCAAGAACGCAGATACAGGCAAGTTCAGACTTGAACCGATGACAGATTTCTTCACCGGATACAGGAAGATCAAATTATCTCCACAAGATGTCATTACTCAGATCGATGTTCCTTTGATGAAGGAAAACGAGCACTTCTTTGTTTTCAAACAAGCTCATCGTCGTGAAGATGATATCTGCATCGTTTCTTCCGCATTCAAAGTCCGTATTTCTCCAGATAATAAGATCGAATACATTTCCCTTGGATATTCAGGTATGGCCGCCTTCCCACAACGCGCAAAGAAGGCAGAGAAGTTCCTTATTGGCAAGGAATTCACATTACCAAACATCCAAGAGGCAATGCGCATAGTTAATGAAGAAGATTTACCACTTACTGAGAATGCACCAGGTGGACATGTTGAATTCCGCCGTGAACTTGCTCGCTCATTCCTCTTCCGCTTCTTCCACCAGACAGAGAAAGAGCGCGGCCGTCCACACGATGAATCAGCCTGTGGCATCATCGAACGTCCAGGTGCTGAGTTCTCTGTTACACGCGCAAACATGATCATTGATGGTCAGATGAAAGAAGACGTCAAACTGAAGAAACAGCCAAACTACGTCCATTCACCACTTCACATGCGTTCAAGTGCACAACAGACAACAGGTGAAGCTGTTTACACCGATGATTTACCAACATTTCCACATGGTTTGCACGCTTATTTCGTTTTGAGCACAATTCCACACGGAAAGATTGTCAAAGCAGATTATTCCAAGTGCTTGGAATATCCAGGAGTTGTTGATGTTGTCACATACAAAGACATCAAAGGTGTCAACTGGGTTGGCGATGTCATGAAAGATGAACGCGTTCTTGCAGAAGACGAAGTTGTCTTCGAAGGACAACCAATAGCCATGGTCATTGCTAAAGACCAAGTTACAGCTTACAGAGCATCAAAACTCGCTAAGATTGAATACAAAAAACTTCCAGCAATTGTATCAATACAAGATGCAATCAAAGCTAAGTCATACTATCCAATCCATCACCAAGTTGCTGATGGTGATATCGAGAAAGGATTCAAAGAAGCTGATTACGTCATCGAAGGAAATACATCAATGGGCGTTCAGTCTCATTTCTACTTGGAAACACACGCATGCCAAGCTGTTCCAGGAGAAAACGGACATCTCAACATCTACGCTTCCACACAGAATCCAACATTCACACAAGCAGAAATCGCTCGTGTCTGCAACATTCCAGCCAACCAAGTTGAAGTCCACGTAAAGAGATTGGGAGGTGGATTTGGATCTAAGGAAACAAGATCAATCATGATTTCAAACGCTGTTGCCGTTGCAGCACAGAAATTGAAACGCCCTGTCAGAATGGTTCTCGACAGAAACGATGACATGGCAATCATGGGCGGTCGCCATCCATTCTACGCAACATACAAAGTTGGCTTCAACCGCGATGGCAGAATCATCTCATACAAGACAGATATGTACGCTGACTGCGGCTGGTCACTTGACTTGAGTTTGGCCATCACAGACAGAGCATTACTTCATGCTGATTCATCATACAAGATTCCAAATCTCTGTGCAGATACATGGATGTGCAAGACAAACAACATGTCACACACTGCTTTCCGTGGTTTCGGTGCTCCACAAGGTGTCTTAGTTATGGAAACAGTTCTTGAACACGTCGCAAACTACTTGAAGAAGCCAGTCAATGACATCCGCTACATGAACTTGTATCGTGAAGGCGATGTCACTCATTTCGGAACTGTTTTGGATAACTGCAACGTTGTTCCATCATGGCAATACATCAAGAACAGATTCGACATCAACAAGGAACGTAAGCGCATTGAAGAATTCAATGCTACACACAAGTACAAGAAGCGTGGTTTGGCCATGGCTCCTTTGAAGTTCGGTATCGCATTCACATTCGGAACATTGAACCAATCTGGCTGTTTGATCCACATCTACAAAGATGGCACAATCCTTTTGTCACACGGTGGTGTCGAAATGGGTCAAGGCCTTCATACAAAGATGTGCCAAGTCGCAGCTTCAGCACTTAATGTTCCAATTGACTTGATCCACATCGAAGAAACATCAACAGACAAAGTTGCAAACACATCAGCAACAGCTGCTTCATCTGGCGCTGATTTGAACGGCCATGCTATTTTACATGCTTGCGCACAGTTGAACATGCGTTTGGCTAAGTACAGAACACCAGGCAGATCATGGGCTGATGCATGCCGCGCTGCATGGTTCGACAAAATTGATTTGACTGCTCATGGATACTACGGTATGCCAAATGTCGGATTCGATTTCGTCAAGAAACAAGGAATGCCATTCCAGTACTACGTTTACGGTGCTTCTGCAAGTGAAGTTGAAATCGACACATTGACAGGCGACCACCAAGTCATCAGATCAGACATTGTTTTCGATGCAGGAGATCCACTTAACCCAGCTATCGACATGGGTCAGATCGAAGGTGGTTTCTTGCAAGGCTACGGCTGGTTAACAATGGAAGAGTTCATCACTGGCGATGAGAAGAACAAATGGGTTCGTCCAGGCCACGTACAGACAAACGGACCAGGCTACTACAAGATTCCAGGATGGAATGATGTTCCAATCAAGTTCCACGTCGGTTTGTTGCCACACTCACAGAACCCACTCGGTGTTTACTCATCTAAAGCTATTGGTGAACCACCCCTTTTGCTTGCAAACTCTATTGCATTTGCTATTGTCGATGCTATCAAGTACAGTCGCAAGGAAAACGGTCTCTCCGATGACTTCCAGATCGACTACCCATTAACATCAGACAGAATTCGCGTGCTTTCAGCACCAAAGATTTCGAAGTAATTTTTCTTGAACTTTTTTTTTAAAAAAATCAAATAATTTCTTAGACTATGATTATTTTTGATTCAATTGTTGATCGGTGTTTTATATAATTTCGATTTTAAAATCTTTTTGAACCCAAATCCACTAGTGATAAAGTTCATAATATTGATAATTTCGGTTCAAAAAACAAACGAATAACGTGCTTTTTATGAAAATGATAATATTAATATATGCATTATAAATCTTATTTTCCCGTCTTTGATTTTATGAAGAGTCGATTATTTAAGGTTTTTTCAAGACCATTAAAATAAAAAACATCATTATGATTTTTCTGAATGAAATTATGGTGTAAATTGCAATTTGGAATAGATTTAGAAAGGTACCAAAAGGCGAAACAAAGATATTGCTTCTTGAAAGAAGTTTTTCTGATTATTACAACACAAATGAGTTTATTAACAAAACTACAAACGGAACAATATCAGGAAATGGCAATTATTACATTAATCAAGCAGTATTTTCTTTCCATTATCAAAGTAGAGCAATTTATCTTAATTCTGACAGTAAAGTTTTACTTGAAGCATGTTCTTTTCACAACAATAGTTCCACAGATCATGGTGGATCATTCCTTATTGAAAATTCAGATTGTATCTTAGTTCGTATTTGTTGTTCATTTTCAATATTAATGAAGAATACTTCAGATAATATTCATTTGTATGGATGTGCATATGAAATTAGTTTACCAGATGATAGTAACAACAAAAGTTATGCATTTGAATGTTCAGTATCACAATGCAAAGGAGATGAGGCTGCATTTAATTATTGGCGAGGAGATATCAAAGTAAGTAATTTAAATACATCTTATCAATATGAAATTGAAAATAATCCTGCATTTTATATTGGTTATCCAGCAGGTACAGGTATTATGAATTTTACAACAGTATCAAACATATCAGGCCCAGATGGTCATGGAATGTCAGTTTATGGTGAATTAAATTTTACAAAATGCAATTTTTTATATATTGAAGTTGGAAGTGATGTAATTGCTAATGATTTAAATGAATTTTCATATTGTTCAATCATAGGAAATAAAGGATATTTTATATTTATATTCAAACCAACTATTATTGATTGCTTCTTCGATAAGAACACAATCGAACATACAGCAAGTAATTTAATTTCAAGTGTTTCACCAAATGAGCCATTTGATTTATTTTTATCTCATTATGCAGATCATGGGTGTTCTTTTGTATATGAGAGTAAAAAGAAAGCAGAAAACAATTTTAAAGGTGATATATTAGAACATGCATCAACCTTTGATATTGTTGGAAATGCATATAAACTATCATCTTGTCAAATACTAAGCATATCTTTGCATCACTAAAATATTGAAATACCAAGTTAAAATGTGAACATAATGAAAATACAATTCATATTATCAAATTGTGTTGTCGTGTATAGCTTTAATCGATGGATCTTTACATATATTACAATAAATTGCGATTAAAGCTATATGGAAGTAAGTGCATATTAAATTGCAAATTCTCAAATATTGCTTCTTTTCAAACAAATTCAATTGATTATTAGAAAATTTTATAGAAATCGCAAGATTTGCTGATTGGTTTATTTTTCTTAAGAAATCCGGAATCATATCAAGCTTATTACAGTATTTATACGGATAAATAATGCTCTGTAAAGTGCCTCACATGAGGTATAATTTGTGAAATCAGAAATTGTTTAATTCTAAAGTGTCAGACAAAGTGGAATATTCCACTACCTGTCGGGTATATTATCCTCATTAGAGACATACATTTAAACTTTCATGTGGACTTTGTCTGCGCAAGTTGCCATAAATGACATCATATACTGGTATGGCTCAAGGTTCGGTAATAAAATCATGGGGACTTAAGCATGTAATGTCTTCTTGAATGATAAATAGGGAGTGAAGAGAAATTTTGACTCAATTGTCTAGAAAAAGATCCATTTCAAGATCTAAATGCGGAACAATATGCCATTCCAGGAGACTTATCTCAAAAATATGATTTTTCAGCACTTACACTCCAATGGAAAACTTTGCAGCAATATGATCATTCTATAGTAAAAAAAAGTATCATCCATAAAAATAGCGAATATAAAAAGCATTATATAATAAACACATATAAAAACATGATTTATAACAAACAATTTATAAATTCAATTGATTATATAAAATCAATTGTGATTGTATGAATTTCAGAGCATGAAGTAAAAGTTTCATTGGTAGATTCCAGTCAGAAAAAGAATGAGGATTGACATCATAGTTGAATCCGTCAATTGTATGCTTTTGGAGGTTAATTTCGCAAGGAGGATGAAAATACGGATCAAATGCTTCATCTTTGTAGTAAAGACCATATGTCATGACCATGAGGACATGAATTGCGACATTAAACAGTCGAATACTTTTATTATCGTATCCTTGGAGTGAAAACGGGATAATTTCAGGTGGTGAGTTTGGTTTTAGAGGTAATTCAACGTATGTTGTTGCTCCGAACTGTATATTTACTTGGTTCCTGTTGAGAATTCTTGAAAAGTTTTGTATTAAAAAACAAATAACCATCAAAGCAGAGTTTAACTCGCTTAACGGTATGAACTCTTGATGGAATATTGATAATCGAAGTCCATTGATGTGCCCCATTTGTTCTTTCAGGTCAATATCAAACAAATGATTAAATAATGAGTATTTTGAATCGATTTTAATGTCTTCGTATGGTTTTAATACGTTTTTGTCTAGTTCGAGATCTGATTTCTTTATTGGTAATGAAATCATCTGTTTATTTGGGAGATCAATATATTTTTTCATTGCAATTGTATTAGTTTTGTAAATTTGTATCTGTTTTTGAGCTGTTTCTTTAAGAGAGTCGAATTCTTCTTTAGTAAATTCTCTTAAAACTTGAGTTTGCAATTTTATTTGATGAATCATTGAATTAATCTGAACGAGCTTTCTATGTAAGCAATGTGGACAAAGAGGTAATGAATGCGTCTCTTCACAGTCTGTTTCTTGGACTAGTTGTAAAAAATTCTGATATTGATCCAAATCTTGCAAATTAATTGATGTATCGATACTCACAGACTTTTGTATTAGTTTGATACGTAATTTCGAAGGACTTGTTGAAATCGTAAGATTTTCTGATTGATTTTCTTTTTTTAAGAAGTCAGGAATTATACCAAGCTTTCCACAGCACTTACAGATAAATAATGCGCCTATATGAGAAAGCTCCTGCTCTTCAGTCATGAAATAAATCTCAATGTAATTTTGTGTTGATCTGACAAATTTCTTAGGAGATAAAATAAGATCCGATTGAGCAGATCACGAATTGGAAAAGGATGAAAATTGCACAATACTAAAGTTTTATATCTTTTGAAATTTCAAATTTGATCAGAGGTAGGGCAACGATAGAAAATTTTTGGAAAAAAAGTTCGGAGATCTTAAACGTATCATATTCCCTGCATGGTTTGGTATCTTCCGCCATGCGTTGTGCCAAACATATTGACACTTTCCAATAATTAATTTATGGTATGAGTCACAGAGTTAGATTATAAAAAGAAAGTAAATAATTGCAATTAGAAATCATATATGTCGGAAATCAAATGTTGATGAGCAGAAACCTTTTACTCATCATAAAAGAGATAAATCACTAAAGATTTGTATACATTAAAATTTGATATTTGGTGCTCGAAAACTGTCTGATGGGACTCCTCCAAAATGAACCAATCTATCGCTGAGGACCAAATTAGATGATGTGGATGGTGTATTCTCTAATTCTAACTTAGGAAGAATGGGAACAAAACGAATGACGACAACAACATGTCAAACATAGATTAAATATCTATGAATCAATAAAGTATATGTGCATTGAAGGTGATAACGATCACTTGAGGCTTATAACTCTTTGACTAAATTATGCAATAATTAAATATAATCATTTTTATATTTTTATACTGATAGTAATTAATATACTATCCTGCTTAATAAATGGTATGATCAAATTTGTTTGAAAATTTAATTATGTATATGAAACTATGTCTTCTATATAAAAATCAAAATTTTCGGACGAACCTAGATTGAACCTTTATGAAAATCTATCATTTTTGTTAATTGAGTTAATATGAATCTTTTACATATGTATATATAGCATTGATAGCTTATATAATCATGGTTTATTCCATATTAACATATTTTTTCAGTTAAATTTGTTAATAATATCATGTAACAAATTAATTCAAGATTAGAATGTCTACAAAATGCTAACAAATAAGAACAAAATACGATTTCTCGACTTAAATTTTAATATGGAGTAGTTTTTCGTTTAAATCTAATTAAAAATGAATAAAAACTTATCTTGTACTATTTTCATTCAAAGATTTTAATAATGTAAATCATGCATTTTCATAATTCAGTACAGTTCTTTTTAGAATTAAAGTTGATGAGGATGATATTTGTGATTTAAAATAATTTGTTAATGTTCACCTTTTATTCATCACCTTGTGGTATGCCCTAAAGCAATAGCATTATCAATTCTGCTGAATTGATCAACTCAAAATTCCAAAAAAAAATTCAAAATTTCAAAAATGAAATTAAACAATTTTAATTTTCACATGAAAAAATCAATTTCGAAAAAAATTTGGAAAATCAAAGTATTTGATAATTAGTCAAATAATCAATTTACATCGTTTTACTCATAAAAAACAACTAATTTTTGATTTTGATATCATATTTGATAAATACTCATTCCAGAGTTGACGTAATGTATTAATTATTGTTAGAGATATTGCTTTCGCAGCAAAATTCTTATTTCATGAAAGAAAAAAAAAAATGATTTTATTCCAACAAAAAAAGTAAACAGATGAATGGAAACGTACTATATTTTCATAAATGTAGTAATCAGCGTGTCGGCTTTTGTTTATCATGTTCGAGTCAAAATGTATTAACTTGTAATAAGAAATATTCGAAGATTATATGAAGTATTGAGCATTCTTTGTAGAAATATTTGTAATTCATACTAACATATATAATAAAGTTGTTTTTTTTCCTTATTGCAATAATTTTGTCTGATTTTAATAACTTTTCATGTATACGAGTTGTGTGAATATGCATCATAATATGCGTAAATATACTTATTTGCGACGAATAATGTGGTTGCATAATGGAGGTGCTAAATTTTGATTTTTAATATGGGGCTTTGGTATGTATAATCATGTTCTTATCTCAACGTAGGAGTATTGGTGCAATATGATTAAAATTTACGAGGTTGATCTTAAATTGAATAATTCTGGAGTATAAATCACAATGCAGCTAATTCTATGTTAAAGATAGATACAGATTGTAGTAATCAATTAGGGAGTACAAATTCATTCTTTCATTTCTGTCGTATTGAGCAGAAAGGAAGAGATCATAACCTAGGAAAAAAAGCCCAAATTTGTCACTTTTCATAGTACGTTAAACTCAATTCGCTCGGCGAATGCCGAGCACACGTACTCATCATTCAACATAATATTCTCATTCTTTGGTTATTATAGTGCCAACAACACAAGATTTCAAAGAATTACTTGAGTTTTCAATTAATCTTAATCCGATTTTAGATTTATCGAGAACTCCATCATCACAATCACATACTCCAGTGCGGTAACTACAATTATCCATATACAGAAGGAAGTTCTTTTCGAACAACTCATTTGGAGTCTGTTTTGGAAAGAACTTCTTTCTGTCCGACTTAATTTCATAGTTCCTGATCAACCAAAAGACAGAAACCACACACTATCTACTTAGGAAAGGAGTTCTTTCTAAATCTTCCTTAAATTGAGATTTTACGAGAGATAACCCTTCTATTGCACTTAAAAATGAACATTTTGATATCTTTAGTATCACACATGGTCATATATAGTATTTCATCTACATGAATACATTCATCTTTCGAAGTCTCTCATTAAATGGGAGGCTTCGAAAGATGAATCGTTTTATTCATACAACTTTAAATCTCGAACACATTTAGAGAGTGAGTATATCATTTTATTCTTGTTTTGAGTTTATTCTGATTCAAAATTGCAGTGAAAACAGAAGTTCACACATCATATCTGAATGTGAGCTCATCTATACTTATACGATCTCAATACCTCCACTCTAAGCATAAGAGGTGAAGTTATACAAAAATTATCAGATGCGTTGAAGTCTCAAAAGAATAGCCTGAATGCTTGTTTCATATTTGTCCAAGTAGTTTCAATGAATAAATGTATTGTTTTTTATAATTTCGATTTATTTTTAGAAAATATTCAATATAAACCTTTATTGTGTTATTTACATCTCATAAATTCTCTGTCTAAATCATATAAAAGCGCGTTTTACCCCTATGAATCAAGAAATTCATTCAATATTCATGGTATATTTATTAAATTTATACGATTTACTAATAATCAATATTATATCCTCATAAATAGCAATATATTTTGGTAATCTATGATAATCATATACAATATTTGAAATCAAATTTTCATTAGTTTAGGTTCCTTGTTAATAGTAAACCATTATATTTATTACTAATAATAAAATCTATGTGTCGTATTGAAATTCAATAAAATTACTTATTCGGTCCAAAAAAACAAATTAGATAAAATTTTTCTTTTTTTATGTAATTTTTGTTTTTCATTTTTCTCAAGATCCTAAGTTATGTTCTAACTTTTGACATCATATCCTATCATGCTAGGCTATATATTATAGCATATCCAAAAGGCAAGGAAATCTATCAGAGAAGCCTTTTTGACCTATCGTTGCCCTACCTCTATTTGATCGATTCTTCCAAAGTCAAAAGTCATACAAAGGATAACAATAATAACAGAACTAAATAATTGTCATGTTTTAGAATAGTTAATTGTTTGAGGAAAGAAATTAAAAAAATATTATTTTTTCATTTAAGTATATATACTTTATTCTATTATGGGATAGGAGGTGGTAATCAATACCACCCAGCCTAACCTAACCATTGAACTCGTAGACCTCTCGGGCCAAATTAATTGGCTTTTCGTTTTCATCAAGAAGTTGTATTTTAGAAACAGTATCGTGAATGCAATTCCAATTATCATGGAACCATTTGATCAGGATACGACGATCGCGTGAGGCATCTCGTTCAAGTTTTAGGTTACACTTTAAACATACTACATTTGCAATACTTCTAAGTTCGCTCTGGGTAATACCCGAGCTAAAACGCATTACTAAAAAATTCCATGCTTCTGTTTTTTCAGGGATAAACCCCCTCAGCTTATCACTCACCCGCTTAGATTCCGACCCCGTACCCCGGGGGAGCTTCATGTGTGACAATGATGACGCAGAACTCATATTGATCCTTGTGGAAATTGAAGAAATGAGATGACATCAGTAGTTAAAAAATTTTGGCAGAAAATTGTATTGAAGTTCTTACCAAAATTGAGAGAAAATCTACGGTTTGATTTTAGATTTATCATTTACATTTATCCATTGCCAACCTTGAAAATATAGAATCGTATAGCATTGAAAATTTAGAATGCAATGAAATCATATCCTATTGTCATTGATTTCTTATTCATGATTCTAAATTTTATCAATTACGTAGGAACCTGGATTTAAATTAAATAACATATTAGGAGTGCAGCTAATTTTTAGTAGTCTTGGTCGATTAATACTCATTTAATTTATGTCCGTATGTAATAATGCATTATATTCTAAATATCTCTCAAATATAGAATCAACTGTTAAGGGTAGTTTAACCGCTGAATCCCGGTGCTTCAACCTGATTTTTAAATTTTGGTCTTAAAAATTAAGTATAATATTGTGACTCTCTATGCAATTAAGATTATATACAAACAATATTTATATGAAATTAAACAATATAGCAGAAAATTAAAAAACAAAACAAATGTTTTTTCGAAATTTTCAGCTAAAGTAAGAAATTGGAAGATTAGGATTCATAAATTAGAAATTGAATCCGATATTGGATAGTATGATCATGGATTATTGATCACTAAATCAAATGGAAATATTAATTAAAAATAAACTTTCGGGTTGATGGGATATGTAATGGATATTTTGAATAAAAATGCATAGGTATTAATTGATAATTGCACAAAATTCTTCAAAATCAATAGTATTATCGTGATTCGCATCTAAGGCCCGAATAGTTGCAGAAGCGTCTGATTCAGTAACATTTTTACCCATTTGTCTGCCAAGCATTACAACTTCATTGAGGTCAAGTTTTTCATTATGGTCTTTGTCGCAGAAATCAAAAATTTTTCGAAGAATCTCTTTGTCCGATAATTGGTACATCTCAGTACAGAAATTTAGGTATTCATCGAGTTGAATCAGCTGGTCTTTGTTAGAATCATACTTCTCAAAAAGAATAATCACCATTAATCTTTCGAGTTCGTTGCCTTCTTCTTCTAAAATTTGCGCAACAGTTTCGCGTGTAAGTGAACCTGTCCCGTTTATATCAAGTTCTTCAAACCTCTGTTTGAATTTCTTTAATTTTGATTCAGGAAGAGTTGACATACTGAAAAAAACACAAAATGTCAGTTTTTGATTAAAATATTTATATCCAATTTCTTTTTTATATCAGTTAGGTGATTAAAACGGAATCGATTATCGACAAATTGAATGTTTGTAATTTGTGAATTGAGAATGTCCTTACAATTATCGTAATGATTCTATATCCTCTTTTAATTTTCATTGTGATCGATAAATAAAATTATTTATGCTACTATCTTTAGTGATTTTATTTTATAGTAAATAAAATTTTCAAAACTAAGTAAACCTGATAATTTTTCTATAATATTAGTATTGTTCATTATTTATTTTGAGTCTTTATTTCGTTCTCTCAATAATTGAGAGAATTTCAGCGACCATTTATTTCCAAAAAAATTTAATCTGTTAAAAATGATGAATTAACTGATATTATGATATAAGAAGTCCAACGATCTCTGTAAAATGACAATTTTACCGTTGCATTAGGGAAAATTTTAATCTGAGGGGGAGATATTTTTTCCAGATCATAATTTTTTTTTAATCTCAAATGGATTTAGACGAAACACCTATTCCTCCTCAAAAAGAAACAGAAAAACCAGTTTCAGTCATACCTTTGCCTGTAGAATCAATTGCAATCGATAATATTACAATACCACTTAACAAAACTGAAAATCCTCCGGCTAATTCAGAAAATTCACAAGCTCCACCACCACCTGATGCACCAACGGAACCACCAAAAATCAAAAGAGGTGAAGGCGCAGAAGCAAAGAGAGTTGCCAATCGATTGAAAGGTTTTGATCCGAAAAATTCTCAAGTTTACCAAATTCTCGTATCGAAATTTTCATCAGGTGTTACACATAGCGAATTAAAGAGTATCGCTCAGATTTGCTGTAAGTTTTGCAAAAATCTTACTTTAGATCGCGATGCATCAAGAGATAATAGAGTTCTGATCAAATGGTTTGAAGAAAATTGGTCAATAATACAAACAATAATCAATGATATCCATTTGAGAGACGATAACGAGAAAATTATTAATCTGGAAAGGGAACAAGAAAAAAAGGCTCCTAATGTGAAATAATTTGTTTGATATTCTTTACTTCTTCAATACAGTTTTGTTTTAATTTTGAATTTATTATATTTCGTAATAAAGCGTTATATGTATTCTAATACTGTAAAATTATAGATAGTATAATACTCATATCAATATAATGTGATTTATTCATTATATAAAATGAAAAGAACGTCCAAAAGTCAAATTATAATTATTTGATTCTTACATATATGAGTTGTTCTTTTTCAATATTATATTACGAATATTTCCGTCCTTCGAATATGCCTTATTAATTTTGAATAGTTTAATAATATTCCCGTATGGTTACCTCAATATCATTAAATTTTGAGAAAAATACGGAATAAAAAATATTCAAGCCACCGATGACCGAAATTTTTTTAATCCATATTCTAGTTTATCCATAATCCACAATTCTTTGCGTCGATTTTTTTATCGCTTTATTTTATTTGTCACTTTTTTGGGTAACAATGAGAGCTACAATTCGAGCAGTACATCCAGTAAAGCAAGTTGAAATTTATAAATACATTCTTTCAAAGTGCACTCCTCTAATTGATGCTTGGAAATCCGGAAATGGCGTTATTGGCGAATCAGTCCCTATTCCTCAATTTACTCCATCAGATTTAGCTAATCTTTTTCAAGTCTCTCTCCAATTGATTAAACAACAACCTCCAGTTCTTATTCTTTCTCCTGGCGTTATTATTGTTGGAGATTTACACGGAAACTTCATCAATCTCATACATATCCTCGCTCAGCATGGATTGCCTCCAGAACAAAGATATCTTTTCTTAGGGAATATCATTAATTTTGGCGAATTTTCTTTAGAAACAATTACTTTAATTTACGCTCTGTTCTGCAGTTATCCATCTCATATCTCAATATTGCGTGGAGATACCGAACTGTTCCCAATCCAGACAATGAACAGTTTATATTTTGAAATTAATAATACTTATCAAGATATCTCTTTATTCGAAACAATTACAAATACATTTGCATTTCTCCCAATAGCAGCTCTCTTTGACAATCGAGTTTTATGCACTCAAACATCAACTTTACTGAAATATAACTCAATTGCAGGAATGATGCAACTTCATGGTCCTGTTTTTTGTGAAATTAGCAACCAGGGCTTTAACGGATATACAAACTCTCAGATTCCTGAAGAAGATTTTCTTTTCAAGTTTATTGAGAAAAATCAAATTGATTTAATGATATTAGGAGGCAATATTCAAGAGACAGGTATCTCATCTTATTGTGAGGAACACGTTTTCTCAATAGCTACCTGCGAATCAAGAAGTGCTGCAGGAGTTATGTTATTAACAGGAGATTTCAAGCCATCTCCAATTATTTTTGTTACGAACTCTGAGCTTGAGAGAGGTAAAGCGAGGTTCCAAATTGTTGACAAGATTCTTCGAAAACCAGCTCCGGTTTCTAAATCTCCAAGTGGTCCGATCGCTAGAGCCAACATTGTTATACCTGGTCGAAGTAACTTAACATCAGGAGTCATGAAATTCCACTCTGCAACTCCAAAGCCAAATGATAAATCTCTGAATAGATCATTAACTCTTCCGCCGATGTAATTTTTATATTATGTAAATTTGTTATGTTAGATAAATATTTGTATACTATTATTTTTAATCATTTCTTATTATTTGATTCAAAATCTAATTCATTGTAATTTCATAATCCACGTAATTGTTTCCATTTTTGTCTCTTGGTTCTAAAGTACAAACGCCTACCATACATCTCATTGTTCACAATCAAACAATAAAGATCGTTATTAAGATTTGCAGAAAATTGCCCAAATTGTTGTTTTATCATGGTATTACTTTTACAATTCGAGTCTTTAGTCATCTGATCTTAATCACTGCAATTAACACATGTTTTTGAATGATTCGATCGTTGAATCTTGTCCTGTCTTTCAATGTAATTGTTAGAATTTTGGAGAGATATAAATATACATGTTTCACATATAACCTTGTAAAAATTCCATTAACATAAAATATATTGTATAAATTTAATAAAATTAATATCCATTTCAAAATGAGTCAATAAAATGATGTTGTAAATGTAAAATTGATTAAAAATAATGTATAAATTAAATATATTGACATTTCGATTCCATATCATAGTTTTAGAAGAATATTTGTTAATTCCACTATTGTAAATATCTTATTTAATATTTTAATTTCATTAAAATATTATTTTGATCAATGTATTTTTTATATTTGCATGATTAATATCAATTCTTGTCTATTTATGGATATTTGATAGATTTTTCTTTTTAGATCAATTAACATTGATGTCATAGTTATTGGGTTTGACACATAGCCTTTGTCAGAAAATTCTGTGGGAAAATCCAACAATTTTTTTTCACAAAAATGACCCTAAATACTCTGAAAAATTGTGAGCACGTATTCAATTATGGACCTCGGATCTACTGATTATATATTTATCATTGCAATATGTATAAAATCACAATATTACAAAAATAAAATTATTGTTGGCAAACAATATTTGAGTAAAAAAATTTTGATGAGGTTATTATAAATCGGATTTTTTGATGAATTAATTCATTCTATCATGAATTATGAATTTTACTAAAGTTCAATATTTTGATAGCTCAGAAATGGTGAAAGATCCGGATCCGACATGATCAATAATTTTGAAATTTTATCTAGTTCCTCAACAGGATTGATTTTACAATCATTGTTGATTTTATGAATTTGATATTGAATTCAAAGAAAATGTCAAAATCATTTAAAGAAGATGCAGCTTCATTTGAGCGTCGTCGAAACTAAAGGCATGCCCAATGAAAATTCTTATTACAGATATGATCCATTAGTTCATGTCTCCTTAAGCTCATCCCCAATGAAGGAGCTTTATGGACATCATGATTTTCATTTTGATCTTCCAAACATGGATCAATCAATAATAATAAATTTCCTCAATAATAATGGAAATGCTAACTGTTATCCAATCGGATTTCTCAAGCTCAATACAAACAGCTTAAGAATCGGTGATGTTGTTGATAATTGGTATCCTTTAACTCCAGCCAATGAACAAAAATATGCTGGCGAAGTTCATTTGAAACTCCAAGTCGCCCCAACAGGACATCCGGCATTTCAGCCATTAAACACAAGAGAACAGCCACAAAATTGTGGTTATTATCCTCAGCAACAACAAGTTACTCTTGCCCAATTCACCGTTGAAAGTCAAAATCCAAAACATTCCCACATTGGTGAATATCTCCGAAGCCATCCTTTAACGGAAAGAATGGGCAGGTGTGCAGAAAGGAGAGCTGAAAGAAGGGAAATGAGAGAAGAAAAGAAAGGAATGAAGCTTGTCGAGAAAGGAGCTAAAATCATGATGAAAGGAGTCTCAAGGATGGCCAATTAAAAGCAGAATAAATTTTCTTCTACGAACTTTGATGTATTTATTTTACTGAGAAACTTATGCCAAAAAATCGAATTTGAAAAATTATTCACAAATTTCTGGTTTTCAAAAGCTTTCAAATAAATATCTATTTCAGACGCAATGATGTTCCTCATATATCAGCAAATATATAGATTTTAAATGGAATAACAGATAAAACAGAATTATTTTGAGCCAAATACGACAAGGTATTGAAAAATCAAGCAACTTTTAATATTTTTGATGTTATTTGACTGTTTTGCAGAAATAGTGGTTGATTTATTATTTGATTAAAACATACAAGAGTATTTTTTATTAGAATTAAATAATAACAACAGTCATTTGAAAGGGTATTCGGAAACTATATTAACATTAGTTTATCTTGAAATGTTTCCGTATAATTGTAAACGATAAAGTTTTGATTTCATCATTTTGTAATCTTTGAGAAAGAATTAGTTTGAGAAGTCTGTAATTTCTGAGAGAGAACTGATTTCAGCTGGCTTGATACTACTTCAAGTTGTTTTTGTTCATCAATAAGTTGATTAAGTTCTTCCTGCAGTTTTTTATTCGTTTGCTTCTTTTCGTTAATTTGGAGTGTAGCACTTTTGTTAACAACAGGAGATACTGTGCTTGAAATAGTCAATAAATTTTTCCAATTTTTGAATATTTTAAATTTTAGAACTCTATTTTTCCTCTTGATGTACAGTGCACAATTCCATTTCATTATAGCAGCAGTTTCACGTGGATCATCATCAATCATTTATTTATGACACTTTTTTTGATTAAATTGGTTTTTGCAATTGTTAACAAATTGGCAATAGAACAAATATTTAAAGTTATGAGATATGAAATATAAAAAATGTTTTTTATAGTGTTTCCGAAGGAAATTCAAATTTGAGCAAAATTTCTGATAATCACGGAATAAATTATGAAAATATAATTTTTTTCTATATGCAGAATAATTTGCCTCGTGTTGTTGTAATTGGCAACTCAGGGGTTGGAAAAACATCAATGGTACAAAGGATTGCACTTGGAGAATTTGATTTACTAAATGCTCCAACAGTTGGGGCTGGTGTTTCTACTGTCACTGTTCAGGTTAACAATAAAGTAGTAAAATATATTGTATGGGATACTGCTGGTCAAGAAATGTTTAGAAATATTGTGCCATTGTATTTTCGGGAAGTTGTATGCTGTATTATAGTATTTTCACTTACAGATCCGGATTCTTTTAATGCAATTTCAGATTGGTTAGACATATTTCATAACAATACTCCACCAGAAATTCCTGTTGTAATTGCAGGAAATAAATGCGATAAGGATCCAATTATTGTTGATCCAGAAGAAGCTAAAATTTGGGCTTTAGAACATGGTTTAGACATATTTATAACGTCAGCAGCAACAGAACAAGGAATTTTATCATTATTTGAATATGTTGGCGCAATTTGCGCTCAACACGTGTCAGATACAAAACGAGAGGAACCTAAGGAAAAGAAGCAGGGCTGCTGTTGAAAATTATAGATTTCATTTTTATATCTTTTTGATATACTTGTTTGAAATAAATGTAGTTATTAACACAATCATATTGTTTATATTTATTAAATGTTTGGCAAAGTTTGCCTACAATAACGAGAAATCAATTTATCGAAACAAATATTATGAAATAAGAAGAATATTATAGTGAAAGGTGGCAAACATCATAAGACATCACTTTTAAATAATGTCTCGTTATACTTAGATCGGAGTATTCAATAGATAATTATATAATTCAGGACAATTTTCTCTAAACTCAGTCCCTTGCATATACACATTATATATGGTTTCTGTCAATGGTTTTTGTGGCAGAAATTTGTTTAGTAGAAAGTGATTCTAGCTTCATCAGGAAAAAAATGTGCACGTTTATTAATTTCATTTCATGCAAAAATCTTCACCATCTCGTTCTTCCAGCCGATCATCAAGCAAAAAATCAGGATCACCTTCTGCAGAAAATTCAAGTTTCTCGTTTATTCCGTCAACAGCAACAGCTACAGCCACCCCAATCAATAAAAATCAAAATAACCAAAACTATGTCCCTAAATCTGTTACATTCACAGGAAGAAATAGATTTATTGAAGGGACTGAAGCAGTAACATCAAAAAATATAACTCCAATTGTAAAATCAAGAAAGATTCTCGTCAATTCAACTGAAAAATCACAAAAACTTCCTGAAACATCAGATTCTGGCCTTATCATCGGCAGCAAATTTGAATATTCCCCAATCTCTGAAGATACACATTCAATTTCCAATTTTACACCTAAAAGGTTACCAGAATCCAGTGCCTTCGCTGTTTCTCCTATTTCAGAACCAAGTAAAAGCAGTTCAATTGAAACCGAATCTTTAATCCCAAAATCAAAATTAGTTTCTGACGAAGAAGAAGAATTTGAAGAGGAAGACAATACTGAAACTCATATCAATAACTCAGATAGTGCTACATTCCAAGATGACAATAAAGATAGTCTTCAATCTAGTGATAATGTTGATGAAATTGAGGATCTTCAAGAAACTAATAAGAAGTTATTAGAAAACCAAAAGACTTTGATATCTATTATTAACGATCTTACATCAACTATTGTTTCATCATTTGGATACAATTCGAAATATGATATTCCATCAATTCTCGATAACCAGAATGAGATCAATTTGTTCCTTGATGAAATTCATACAGTTCAGAAAGAAGGTATTCAGAAAATTAAGAACAGTTCAAGCGGAAATAAAGGACTGTCAAATGATGTGATGCAATACATCCAACAAGTCTCAAATCAAATACAAGCATATCAGGATAACCTTGAAAAGCAGCACAACGATTTAATGAATATCTTAAAATAAAGATTTGTTTAATAATATTAGATTATAAAATCTAATTCAATTTTTTATAAATGAAAGTAACCTATGGCTTGAAATAGCATCATCATGTGGTTACAATAAGTTATTTTTGAAATTAATGAATAATAAAAATTTTATCAGAAATATTAAATCATTTGTAATAAAAATATTAGTAAAAATACATTGGTATATCTTAGTAATGATGATATTTAAACATTTCCTGTTTGGAAAAAAAAAATGAATTAATTTTCGGCTTTTTCTTCTTTCTCTTCCTTTGCTTCTCCTTTTTCTTCTTCGGCATCTTCTTCTTCCTCATTTTCCAAGTATTCAACAACACCGGATAAATGTATATCGAGTTTTCCTTTGTTTTGGAGCTTAACTATGTTAAGTGGAGAGAACAAGTGATTTAGAGATACTGTTTCTGATGTAAATGGCTGCAATGTTGCGAGTAAGAGTTCAGATTCGGTGTATTTCAAATCTGTTTCTTCGGCATTTGGCTTTTCCTCTTCTTCATCATCAGGAATTAAAGTTTTAACGGTGGCGAAAAGTCTAACTGGGCCCTTTTCTGTTTCTTTTGTTACATCTGGGATAACTGCTTGAGTGATCGTTAATGTGCACTGAGATGGCATATCAAGATTTACTGTTTCGCCAGCTGGAACTACTTGTCCCCAGAATCCTGAATGAGAGGGATCAATTTCCTCAGACATATTTTATTTGTCACTTTTTATCTCATTTTTTTATCATGTGTCAACAAACATGTTTCTTATATCTCAAAAACACTGCAATGAGTATATTAGATTGAATGTGTGGATATGATGACATTTAAAACTCCATAAATATATCGGCACGTTCGCATATTGAAATTAATATACATATATTGAATATGGTCAAGATATTCCTCATTACGATACCTATATAGTCTCTATAACTATATTTCCAAATCTATATTGTTATTTATTAATCTATTTGCAATATTATCTTCTCTTGTCTTTGTCTGAGTAACAAATGTTTTACTTGATTTAAACACAGTCCCAAAGCTTTCTCTCACAAATTTTTCATATAGAAATCATCAGAACACATTATAATATTTCAATCATCTTTGTTCTTTTGAACAATAGTTGAAAATTTAAATGCTTAGTTTAAATTCATTTACTACTTCATTAATAATATTATTTTGTTTGGTGTAGGCGGAATGAGATGTTCTCCTCTTTGTAATATAAAGGAATGTAACTTCATCTAAATGTTTGACATAAAATATTGCATAAATCAAGGAAAAAGACAGTAATGGAATGACTCCTTTTCAACCTGCAGTCAAAATATAAAAAGAAACATGAACTTATTTCAGGCTTTCGATATTTATAGCTTTCTAGGACTATTTCTAAATATATCATTCCGTTCGTTGTAATTGAAATTCAATTTTGAATTTTCGGATATTTTCTTAAGATAAAGCCTTGTTTATGAATGTCTGATATCCAAATCTCTGACATATCTCTTAATATTCGGGTCCTGATCGAAATAAAATTTTTCTCCATCGTTCGAAAAGTGACCAAGAGATTTCATTTTCGAGATGTTAAAGGAAGATACGCAGTTATATACAACAGATTTAGTATCAATAAGTCAAGAAGAGAATGAAGAGCCACCAGGACGTTCAACACTATTTGGAGTTTTAATTTTATTATTAAATACTACGATTGGCTCTGGTACTCTTTTAATTCCATATTGTTACAAGTGTGGATTAGCATTATGCATCACAACTTCTTTTGCATTAGGCGTAATTTCGCTTTGGTCACTTTGGATGTTAATTGATTGCGCCAGAGAAACAAAAGCTCGTGATTACTCACATCTTTTCACAATCACATTTGGTCGTAAATACAATTGGATCATGAATATTTGGATAACACTCTGTTTATTCGGAACTGTCATTATTTACGTTTTATGGATCGGGCGTTTAGTTAAACATCTCGTCCCATTGAAGGGAAAGCCGTGGGATGTACCCGCATTTTGGAATTTCCTCTGCGCAATAGTTTTAATTTATCCATTAACAATTTTCAAGAGTTTAAAGCACTTAGAGAGCTGGTCAGGCATCGCCGTATTCTTTATACTCTGGCTCATTGTTTTCTCATTATATTGGCTCATAAAAGGCATCCATGATGAAGGATTTACTCCAGAAAAAATTGTTTACTTCAAGATAGGCAAAATATTCATTTCAACATTCGGTATTATGTCAATGGCATATGATTGTCACTGCAACATCTTCCAATCTCTCAGAATTCTTAAAGATCCTTATCCATATCGCGGAAAACTACTTTCAGGACTTGTTGTACTCATTTCTTTCATTCTTTACAACGCGTTTGGTATTTTCGCTTACTTGCACTTGTTCGATAAATTAGGTGCTGGTGCTGCTTTGGAATATTATCCTTTGGATAATTGGTTCACAAAAGTGACAATTTTCGGAGTTATCGTCATCCTCATTCTTGGAGGGCCAATGATGGTCTTTCCAACAAGATACGCTATCCTTGATATGCTGTATGGTAATAAGGAAGTCAGTACTTTAACATGGAATGTTACAGGAGCTCTTATCACGTTATTAGCTACAGCATGCGCATGTATCTCCAACAACATTGTATTCTTCTTCGACCTTGTTGGTGGATTACTTACGCCTGGTTTCGTTTTTACAATGCCATGCGTATTTTATTTGAAGAATGTGACAGAAAAGAGATGGTATAATATAGTTATTTGTGTGATTGTTATAATTATATCTGTTGCTGCAACTATCGCTTGTACTTATAATGTTGTAACTGGAAATTGAAGAAATTTATTTAATTTTGATGAGAAACAAGTTGCTGATGATAATATTTTTTAAATTACTTCATCAGATGATTTATAATATTTGTATATATTGGAATAAAATATAGTTATATTAAAAAAAAAATATTTTACTAAAAAATGAGTTAAATGAAAGGAGATGTAGTCATTCTTAGCATTCACTTGCAATTTTGAATGTACTGTGATGTACAAAGATTATCAAAAATAGAGAATTTAAATTAAAATCAAGAGAGCTAAAAAGAGAAAGTAGATACCATTCTAGATGATGGAAAAAGAAAATATAACCTTACTGTGCATAAAATATTCAAATCAATTTGCTCAAATATCTGAGATATGAAATTTATTAAGTATAAAGTTGCATTTTAAGTAAGTATAATATTCTCATTCATGTTAGCATCATGAAATGATTTGACATGGCATAACTTCCAAAAAACAGAATTGACCAATTATAAAATAATAAAGAAATAAGTAGTTATGAATCTATTATTATAGTAATAAAGAGGAAATCAATTTTGAATGTATTCATCGTGAATAAAGCACGTTAAAAAATTCAAATGAAGGAATATTTCAAGTGGCACTAATTAAACAAATTATAATGATCATTTGTAGAAAATATTTGGGAGAATAATCAAATGGGTGGGTAATTCAAATTTTTGAATATGATCTCAAATCAAAAAAATCAAGCAAATATTGATATTATTAAATTCCAGACTAATGAAAAATTTTTCAATTGAATGCTTTCTTTTTATTCAAAAAATGTTGTCAATTTGTTTTGAATGCTGTTCAAAACTGTTTGTGATTTTTTATTCATGAAATCTTCTAAATATATAACAAGCAATCGAATTCCATTTTAGTAGCGGCTGGCTTTTTTCAATCTCTTATTTCAATCTTATACCTTTCAATCCAAAAATTAATTTTTGAGTAGTTTAACTTTGGTTTATTTTAATATTTATTACATAATTCCAAAATCTTCTTTTTTGAAGCGGAACTCAATTTTTTGGAAAAGTCATTAGATAATGTATTCCTTATTAACATTAATTTTAACTTTTCAAAGTATTCAATTAATTTCAAAAGAATCTTGCACAATTAGGAATAATAATTTTAACTTACACATTGAATAGCCAAAATTCATTAATAAACATGCAACATCGTTGATCAATTCAATAAATTCAATAGTTCACAAACATTGATAATTGATGAATTCTTCTGATCGTGAGCTCATGGAAAGAGAACAAATAAGTTTGATCGAAGTTGTGGAAGCAACAGATACCATCACCTGCTTTAAAGTCTCCTGGAAAACATATAAGGAACCGTATCTTCTAAAAAGAATAAGCCAGTCAGTATTTAGCAAAGATGTTTTTGAAGAGCGCATGAAGTTATACCATCCTAATATTATTAATAAATACAGATACTGGAGTTATGGAATCTATTACTATTATCTTGTTGATTTTATACAAGATAATATTGCTGATATAGTCAAAAGACATGGGCCGTTACAAGAAAACATGTTCCTTAATTATGCTCAAAGCATGCTCGAATCCTTAAACTTTTTCCATATGAAGAGGATTTTCTTTAAGAATATACTCCCCGCAAACTATCTTGTTGATAAGCATAATAGGATAAGAATGTGTGATATTCGCGAAATGGAGTTAGTGTCAAATTACAAATCTTCAAATGATGTATTTATGCTTGGACAGATATTTTATTATATGATCAGTGGTGTAACACAAGACTCACATGGGTTCATTCCTCGTGACCAGCTTTCAGATATAAATGCTTTCGTAAATAATATTACCTTTCCAAGAAAAATTTCTGGAGAGGTAAAAGACTTAATTCGACGCTGCTTGAACTTTACAGAAGAGTCATCAATTTTTGACATCCTACAATGTCAAGCCTTTAAGCATGTACCTCCTTATAGGAAAAACAGAAATAGTGTGTCGTTGAATCCCAGCGCCACTCCTGTAGCCATTAACTTCAACATGAAGCCTATTGCCATTAAATGTGGAAGAATGATATAATAATCTGCAAACGAAATACATGATTGTTTTTGTTGTTGTTTATTTACTAAAATCTAATGTAATCTATCTTTTCTACTCCTATCATAACAGTGTTTAACAAATTTACCTCTCATGTATTCGTTTTTTGAAAAATATCAAAATTGAATTTCGCAATTTTATCATGAAGAAACAGTAATTTCCCTTTACATCAATATGATATGCCTTCTAACTTATTTATTTAAGAATATTTTAGGTTTCAACTTTGATATTATCTGCAATTACTAGTTGAGTATTAAATACGCGATCAACGGGTTTAAAATCATGAATTTAAACTATATGTAGCAAAAGTTATAAAATATACAAAAGATATTCATTGTTTTAAAAAAATGAAAAATTATTTGGTTCAAAAATATTAAAAGAAGCAGCATAGTTCACAAGCATTATGATAATATATAATATTTTATTCTATTTACACATCTATAGGGCCCATATCATCTTCGATTAAATCGATCTCTCGGCCACTAGCAAACAAATGAATTCCTGATGTATTTCCACCAGCAGAGAATAGAGCAAACACTCTATTACACTTTGTATGGGTTACTGTCCCCATAAAACCTTTGTAATCACCACATTGTATTTGAACAACATCTCCAGGGAAAACTCTAAGTCCTCTTCTATCGTGGACTGTGTTATCGTCTTTGGATAAAGGAAGTTCACAATCTGTGGGAACCGCAACCGTTCTATTTATAAAAAGAAGACAATTTATGAGTTCTTTTTCCGAATCTACGTTAGTAACAACAGCAAATTCGTTTGTAGGGAGTTCAACAAGTGAATACAGTTCAGGGGTAATGGTTTTATACTCATGATTAAATCTAATCTCGTATGGCAAAGCAATATCAGATTTTGCTCTTTCTTTTTGTTGCAAAACTGAACAATTAAATGGAGTTTCAATAGTATTCATAATTTCTTGATATACTTTTTGTTGGATCTTTGTTCCTGATGTTTTCTTTTCAGTATGGTCAGATTTCGGTTTTGATTTCTGTGACGATGAAGTTGAATTAGCAACTTTATCTGATTTTTTACGTTTCCTTGATTTATGAGATTGTTTCTGTGGTTTTTCTTCATTATTTTCGGATTCTGAATTTTCATTCATAGTTTCTGCTATTTGAGGAATTGGAGCATCAACCTTTTCATCATTTTCTGTTTCTTCTTTGTTTTCTGTGTCGTTTGCTTCATCATTTGCTAATTTTTCTTTTTTCTCTTTTTCTTTCTTTTGTCTTGCAAGATGTTCACCTGCTCTAAATGGTGCTGGTTTCTTTGGTTCTGTAAATTTACTTAAATGAGGTCGTAATGGGGGTTCTAACTTCTTAATTTCTTCTAAATCAAAGCGGCCGTATATTTTAAGGGTTGATGCATCAACTTTCATTATTGCCGTTGGATTTACAAAGTAACTATCTTGAAATATCATTCCATTGCATGAATACATCGAATCAAATGAAGTTGGAACTTCTGCATTTAAATATTTTATCTTGTTTTTACGGAGAAATTTGACATCAAGAGGCATTTGTTTATCTGGCGTTATATTTAGGCTTGGAATTGAAAGCCTTGGTAGAATTCGAATTATGGCGCGCTTCAAATCTGGGCTAAAACATAAAACTTCACAGGTATCTTCGTCGTATGGAGGATTTGTATACTTTCCATATACTCTATCTTTAATATCTATGTAATGGCTTTCTGGAAAATTGCAAAATCTCTGATTAAACCAATCTTTGTCGACATATTCGAATGGATTCTTAGAAAAATCTATCTCGAATTGTTCTTTGTCGTTTGTTTCAAAAAACACGCAATCTTTATAAAATGGAAATGAAAGGAATGAAAGAATCGATTTTTTAGTTGAAAATTCCTCGAAATTTTTAAGAATGTATGCACTTGCATCACCTTCTACCTTCACTTTTGCTATAAAAATCTGATTTTGTTCTTCGAATAAAGAAAGTTTCTGTGTTCTCTTTTCTGTTATCTTGTCTCCCGTAACTAATAAATTGGATATATATTTGTTCAGATCTGGTTGAGTTTCAAGGTTTTCCTCTTTACCCTCCATATGACCTCAAAAAGAAATTTTTATAAAAAAGGTTAGAAAAAAATTGATGAATTTATACATAAAATAATCGTATGAAATATTAAAGAAAAAAGTTGAGGAATTTTTTGTGAAGTTGTAAAATTATAAAAATTATTTGTAGAAAAAACATTATGTAGTGCTGTGCTGATATCTTCATTGTATTTGACATTTGTCACTTTTCACGATAATTCTTTCAGATTCTTTTGTAGCAATTAGATCATAAAATATACTTTTAGCCATCACTATGTTAGAGTAATATGGGATAATGCATTATGGCTAAGGATGTCAATTTGGAAGAAAAGTGAGAAAATTCCTAAAATGCTAAAAATGAATTTTCCAAACGTACTTTTTTATCTCATTTTTTTGATTTTGAAAAAAAATTTGGAGAGAAGAACTCTTCGTTTTTGAATTTTGTCACGATGGTTTTAAAGTATATTAGACACATGTATTGATATTACTATTTTTGTATATTTTGAGAGAAAATCCCTAAAAAGTGAGAAAATCTGAGACGGTTTGAGAAAATATATAAACTATTGAAAATTTGAATTAAACTTCTAATTTGGAAAAAAGAAATTTGGAAAGAAGAAAATTCAAAAATCGAGATTTAGACTCAGCATCAAATGGAAAACAAAATGTTTCTTCATATGAAGGAAAAAATTTTCTTGAGAAGAAATAGAGTTTTTAAAATTTTATTATATGTAATGAAATAAACAAATATTAAAATTATTTTTTGATAACAAGAAAATTCCCAACAGAAAATATTTGAGACAAAGAAAAAAAGAAAATTGAAAAATATTACTCTCCTTTACATTTCATGAGATTTTCAATTTATTTTCATAAAATTGACAATTTTATACGTTTAGATAGCAGCTATCAAATAGATTTTTGCTATTTTGATTAAAATTTGTTAATCAAATTACCCAGATTTGCCTTACTTTTACCACCTCTCTAAAGCTGGGGACACCGCCTATCGTTGGGAGTAGCTATTAAATAGAACCACCAAGGGTATTTTTCGAACTGCCGGTGTAGTGTAGTGGAAACATCTGACATAATGATTCGTTATGCCAAGGTTTGATTCCCATTTAGCTAATTTTTTTCTTTTTTGGATCATGAATTTTTTTTTGGGTCACTATAAGATTTGTTTATGTTTAAATCTGCTGCATATGTAATCTATTTTTATTTACCTATTTTTTAAAAATCTATTGGATTGCCAAATTTGAATATATTTAAAATCATAAAAATCCAAAAAACTATAAATATATGTTTTATGCATAGTGCCGATACTCAAATATCAGATTACTTAGATCCATGAATAATATCCGAATTTTTTTTTTAAAATTAAACTTCAAAACTTCTTCCAATCTTATTCTTAATCAATTGTAAATTTTTAAAACCATTTTTTAAATAATTTTGCGTAAATTTTATTCTCATGTTGTTTTAATCGAAAATTGATACATTTTCAAAAAAATAATATTGACTTATGAAATTCATTTTTAAGGTGAAATAGTATTGTTTTTATTAAAGTATATGAATAATATAATAAAAATTAATGAATAATATAAGCAGATTTTTAGTTTACAAAACAAATATGAGCAATGCAATTTCAAACTTTTGCTGGCAATTTCGATATTGCTCAAGTTTGTAGTATTTGTGATACCTATAACATCGGCTTAATCAAAATTCGATTTTTCTTATGAGTTATTGAGAAAATTTGATTGCAATGAGAAGGATTTCGGACGTTTTTGATAAACTAAGAGCTGAGCTTTAGGGGTTCAGTTATTTATGGCTGTAGTTTGATGCGTAGATCTCTTTTTATATGTAAATTCTTTCAGCATGGAGATCGAGAATGAATCTTTGAGAACTTTATGAGTTTTTACACCCGTAAAGAGGTCCTTCGAGGAAAGATAGTCCAGACTATGAAGATGTGGGTTAACCAAAAAAATCCGATGGTTTCCCCATATTCATGTAGATCTTCGAAAAATGAGCACCAAAAAAGCCAAAAAAATAGGCTTTTTATTGGATTTGTACACTAGATCAATAATCTATTTAGGATCTGACACTCTTTTTAGCCAGAGATATGAGGTCCTTTCTAGGAAAACGATCTATTCATCCATAAAAAAAATGAATTATCGTTTTCCCCAGAAATTACATGGGGAGTGGTAAAAGTAAAGCAAATCTGGGTAATAATTTTTTTTCTAAATATCTTAAATATCTGGATCACTCACTGATACGATGAATTAAACGATAAAAATAATACAAACTCAACTAAGTTTCCTGTCTTTCAACCAAAAAATATTATGCAATTTAAATTAAATTGTTTATTCAAAGATAAAACAAAGATAAAGTAATTATAATTATCATATACTTTATGAATAACTCTCTAATTGGATAAGATTTTCGTACAAATATTTTTATTAATATCGATAAGAATATGTTTAACTACTATCACCATATGTCGATAAACGAGAGTAGAGTGATTTTTATCATCGAAACTTTTTAAAAGCTGTAAGCAGGAAGTAATAATCTTGTTTTTTCTGAGTTAGTTGTAGAACTATTGATGCCCGAGTTATCATTGTGATGCAGAAGGATATCAATGTACTGACTGAAGGATATGAATTGAATTGAATTTTATTGAATTTCAATTTGATCAAAATTTGTTGAAATGATATGAATGTGTCAACTTCTGTATCATTCTCCTTCACTCCTTCCTTATTCTTTCGAGAACGAAGCTAGCTCAGCTTTCGCTGAGCGAATTGACACTTTTCATGCCCTAAACGTACATACTCTCAAATTTATTGAAAAAATTAATACCACCTAAACTAGTATATTCTTATTTTAAATATGATATTATCCTTATATTCCACACTAAAATTCATTTAAATCAACTTTTAAAAAAAGTTCGAATCCTGCGCGTCTCACTTTTTAAATTTTCCAAATGGAAAATTATATTCTCCTAAAGTGAAAACAATTTTCCAAATTGACTTCCTTAATTATGGTTTTTATTTTTATGTTTTAAGTGGTCTTATGATTAATTTTCATGAAATTATCTAGTTATGTAACGAGTTCCATTATGCAAATAGATCATTTGTCATTGTATAGTTATATACTTGAGTAATATGTAGTTTAAGTCATGATATATTCTATATAACTTGAAATTTCGAATGAATAAAAAATAATATATACCCTACTTTTCCAACATTTAGAAAACATGCATGACCCCCTACCCAGGGTCCAAAAATTGGTATTTTCTGCGCTCAGGCAACATGAGTTTTTGGGCCGCCAAATGAATAGCTCAAATAGTTTCCTCATATAGAGACATGCTTATGCTTAGAGTTTGAAGGGAATCTAAAGTGATTTTTTTCTGCATTTCGAAATCTAATGCAATCTTAAAATCATGATTAAAATGCGAATCTGGGCGAAATTTTTTAATATGTTAATATATGAAGGTACTCCTACTACTGCGAATGCTTCAAATGAAAATTCAAGAAATCAGATTAATTTGATCACATTAGTATAGTAGTGGTCAATCCAAAAACTCATATGTTGATATATAACCTATAGAGATGATAATTATCGACTCTTCATTGAAATGCATAAGATTTAATAATCTCATAAATATTCTTTTTAATTTTCAGTATTTCGTGTGCATTTAGATTGCATATACCTGTATATGATATTTCTAGAATGTTTTGGTTAGATATTAAGTTTTTTAGATTAATATTTTAACATTTTGATAAAACAAGCAATTGTTCCATTTTGGAATCGCGATTGAACTCTAGTTTGACTAATATGATGTTGTATGATCAAATGAATTCTAACTTCATGAGATAAAATTTGAAATTTGAAAATGCGATATCTGACTCAAATATTTATCTGAGCACATTTAACATTCAATTATAAACTAAAGTAATATACAGCAGATTCGATTTGGCTTATATTTTAAATATTCAACAAATAATCTTATAAAATTGTGCTATTCACGTTTCTCAAAGATGAATTAAGCATTTACAACTGTGCATTGATGGAATTAGATATGGATTCTAATGTTAATCGATATTTTGTAAATTGATATATATTTTATCATGGTTTGACATTTGATCGTGTTGAAACCGGAATTGCAATATGCATCATCTATATATATAATTGTCAAAATATGAGCTATAGATTTTTAAATTATTCTCCTGATTATGAGTGACTTATATGATTATATTGAATTGAGTAGTAAGAATCATAAATATTAGAATATTACGATAATGTATTATAACCTTATAGAAGCTTAAGGCTAAAAATGATGATGAAAATGTAGCTCAAATTTAAGTCTAAAAATTTGAAAAAATTAAGTGCTTATGATAGTATGACGATATTGGTGTTTGAATGTAAGAAATTAGAGATGTATTAGAAGCATTATGAGAAAATAATAAGATATAAAAACAAATTTTATGAAATAATTTAAGTTATAAGAGGTGTTAACATTGGTAATGTGTGTATAAGATAGTAGAATTGTATTGGATCTTTGATTAGTATTTTATAACAATTTATTAATGTAGATGTGATTAGAATGTTGGATTTCAAAGGAGAAAGCGAATTGTTCACTCTTGTTGGTCTGCATGTGTCATTCCGGGAGACATTGCCTGTGCATGTCTCCCAGAATGGCATACTGTTCCGCATTCATAACTTGAATGCGGAACTTTGACCGACAAGAGTGCATTGTGCACTCTTGTTGGTCTGCATGTGTCATTCCGGGAGACATTGCCTGTGCATGTCTCCCAGAATGGCATACTGTTCCGCATTCATAACTTCAAATTCGTAATTAGAATCTTCTCTATTCTGAGAACTTGCAAATTCGTAATTAGAATCTTCTCTATTCTGTGGATTAATTATGAATTCAAGAGTATCGCAATCATCTGGAATAAGAACTAGATCATATTGCAAATTATATTTCTTGCTGCTCCTAAAACTATAGTATGTAGCTGGAGCAATTTTGTATACTTGTTTAGCTTTTTCAAAATTTAGTGTCAAATTGTCATCAGGATTTGATAAGATAAGATAATAAGAATAACCACAAAGAGGCTCATAACCGAGCTTAAAATCGGCTTTGCCATTGGAGAACTCAAGGTATGAGCTGGCTAAATTTGTGATGAATTCGTAGCTGAGACACTGAGTAACTAAAAATAACAACATAAATATAAAATGAAATTCTGAAAAAGAGGATAATTCAATACTGAATTATTTTTTTCAAAAACAATTTATCATGATCATGCTCATTATATGGTTATTAAAATACTCAACTACAAAATTTTTGAGCTTTCAAAAATTTAAATTCCGAAAAAATATTTGTGTGTACATATCTATTAATATGGATAAATTTTAAAATTCGATTAAGAGTGGTGCTTGAAAAATTAAATAGTTGTAAATTTTGTTTAAGATATTTCAAGAATCAACTCCGTCTCAATTTCCAACATATGGTGGGAAAATTTAATTTACTAAAAAAAGGTAGTCCCACGAAAAGTGACACCCTTCTTCTTTTTTCCTAGGGTTACTGTTCGCTTCTTTTCTGCTCGTTATGGCAGAGATGAAAGAAATGATTGGTGGAGCCTAATTTATTACTCCAATTAGCAACTATCTTATATAGTATACTTAGTTGTATTGTCAGTTATTCTCCAGCATTATGCAATTTAAAATCAACTTCGTTAATTTTAATTATATTGCAACAGTACTTCTACATGGAGATAACATCAAGATTGCACCTGCCAAATCCCCATATTAAAAATCGAAATTTTGCATCTCGAAAATGCAACAACAGAATTCCTCGTAATTTTGAGTTCTTACGTCGCTTATGATACATATTCAAATAACTTGAACATAGAAAAAGTTACTAAAATTTGAGAAAATTATTGCAATAAGAAAAAAAAAGTCGGCTTTTAGATATAAATTACATATAAATTACGATGACCTCTATAATGAGTGCACAGTACCGAATATAATTGTTTGATATTTTTGATTTCAATTTTATACATTTTGATTGGAATAGTCATAACTCAAATATCGACGATAGTTACTACATTTATGCGAATGTAGTACGTTTCCATTCATCTATTTACTTGTTGTTGTTGAAATAAAAACTTTATTATTTTACTATCTTAAAATAAGAATTTTGTTATGGAAATAATATTTTCAACAGCAATCATGACATTGCATCAACTATAGAATGAGTTTTTAATAAATATGATTTCCAAATCAAAAATTAGATGTTTTTTATGAATAAAAACGATTCCATTTGATGATTTGATTAATTATACAATACTTTGATTTTCCAAATTTTTTTGAAAATTGATTTTTTCAAGAGAAAAATCAAATTTTTGATTCTCATTTTTGATTTATTGAAATTTTTTTGGAATTTTGAGTTGATCAATTAAGCAGAATGAGTAATGCGAATGCTTTTTACATCTCACAGAGTGATGAGTTAAAGGTGAATTTTAAAAAATTATTTTAAATCACAAATATCTTTCTTATTATCCTTTATTCTAAAAAGAATAGTACTAAGCATTGATAAAGCATGATCTATATTAGTAAAATACTTGAATGAAAAGTGTAAAAGTAAAGTTTTTATTCATTTTTATATTAGATCTAAACAAAAAACTGCATCATATTAATATTCTAGTGGAGAGATGAGATTTTGTTCGTTTTTGTTAGCATTCAGTAGACATTATAATCTTGAATTTTATATATTACATGAAATTATTAACAAATGTGATGTTTTGCTTCGATTTATGATTAATTTTATTAAAGCATCTCGACATGTATCTTGAACAAGATCGTTTCTTGAAGAACTCCAAGATTTTTAAGAGACTTCTTACGAAATTTGATAGATGATAAGAACCACCATTTACGCAAAATGGTTTATTGAATATAAAATAATTCTGTCGTGATCCATTATCATTATACTATTTTCTATCAAATCCTCAAAAGTAAGAATTCAAATCTATTATTTCCCTGATAAACCGGATATTACATAATAAACTATAATCATGTAAGCTGGGAATATTATGGTTTTATTCAAAAACTCCAATTATACTTAAATTTGAAATACAAATACCCTACGTTCCCAACTTCTGGAAAACGGTAATGAATATTGATATTTACTTATATTTGAAATTAAATTTGATATGTAAATCATAACGTGATAATTAATTGATAAAAATTATGGAAATTAAAACGTAATTCACAAATCTTTTTATGCTTTTAGTAACTTTTCAAACTAAGATCATATCATTCATATTTGGAGCCTACTGATTCTATTTATCTTATTTATTTGGAAATCTGTCGTTTAGATTCTTCGTGGGACTACCTTTCTAAAAAAATGCAACGTTGATGACATTTTCCACATGATCTGGAAATTTATATTCATCTAGTTATATGCTTATCATTATCATGCTAAGCGTTGATTTCAGCCATAATGCTAGAGAAAATTTCGGATATAACATGAATCTTTCTATTTCCATGATTTATTTTATTGGTGCATAGTTTATTTGATAGGCTATGAATTATTCCTTGATTATGATTGTTTGAAATTTTTAATAAAATTATTTCAATCAATATATTATTCAGTGGTATTGATTATCATTTTTTGAGTAAAAACAAAACAAAATTATAAAAAAAAAATCGCATTTTTAATTTTTTATTTTACAATTAATTATAAGGATTATCATAATCTGAAGGTGGTGGTTGGTAAGGATTAACTGGTTGTTGAGCCTGATAAACAGGTGGAGCATAATAAGGCTGTTGTTCAGGAGGAGCAGCATAAATTTGTTGTGGAGGACGAGAAGGAGGTTCTAGTTCTTGTTGATTCTTTACTTCATTTTCATAACTATTACGTGTAGTAGTTACAGTGTTTAAAGGTCGTTCTGTTACATTATCTTCTAAAGGAATTGATTGGTTCAATAAATTCCTTGTCTTTTGTCTTATCTTGTATATACATATGCCTAATAATATGACAATACCAATAAATGCAACAAGAGCAAAGAAAACAATGACAAATATTTCAAATCCAGAAAGTCCTTTATGTGTTTCCCATTTACCTGTATTAAGGCGTTCATATGTCCTATTACTGATAGAATATGAAGAATATGGTGGTGAATAACCTTCAAGAACGTAACTTTCGGAATTATCTGTCTTTGAAGGCTTGATTGTATATTTAACCCATGCATCTCCGAATATATAGATCTGGTTAAATATTGTGAAGGTAGGAACTGTACTTTCTTCTAAAGAATATCGAGTATTATTATATAAATAATCTTTGTTAAGAGTATTGGAGCTGTCTTCTATTTTGACCACTCCTGACTTGAAAGCTGATACCATGCAATAATCGGAACCTCCTTTGAGTTCTAATTTGAAAGATTTTTTGCCAGACAATGTAACAATGGCATTACAAGTAACTTTAAGTGAATGTACAACAAATGTTGCTTCAGATGAATCAAGAGAGGACTTGAGTTCCATAGTTCCTGTAGAATTAAATAAAATTGCTACAACTCCTGTGTATCCAAGGATGTCCAATGAAGATTGTCCGTAATAAACGGTTCCGCTAAGCCCTGTCCAGTTGGTAAATACGATGTAACTTTTAGATGCAACTTTAAATTCCTTTACAGTGGAAGTTATGAGCTCTGAGTGAACTCCATAAGTTAATACTGGGTAATCAGCAAATTTGGTGCCGACTGTGACAGGATTTATGGTCAAATAAGATTCTTTTGTATCATCATATAAAAATTTAGGATTTGGAAGGTTAGAATACCTTGATGATACTGTAAATATAAAGGAAACTGATGAGCGCCTTGAATCTGGTGTAAATACGAAACATATTGAGTTAGTCGTAACGAATTGTTCACTAGAATAACTAGTAAGGGATGTGGTGGATGACATGTCATACGCTGAGTATTCAAGTAACTTAGGATAGTTAATTCTGACGTTCAAATCAAATTCTCCTTCTGAAAATGCAACAAAACAGTAATAAGAAGGTGTAGTTAATTCTTTTACTTCGGAGTTATATTGATACGTCGTTCCGGTGACTGGATTAATAAGAAATTCCAATGTATTACAAGAAGCTGGTACATTAACAACATCAATGTAAATGTTAGTCATATTTTCACTGTAAAAGTAAAGATTCTGTGGTGATTTGATTTCAAAAATTTGAGTTTTGATAAATTCGTCATTAATTCGTAAATCGTCGCTCGGATTTGAGATTATCATATAGTGTTTGCAATCCGAAAATCCAGATAGACTAGCTCTGCGTGCATTCACTTCAGGATTTGCATCAAAATCAATAACAACAATTTCGGAATGATCTATCAATTGAATATTGTATTTACTCGGTTTTGCAATGAGAACGTCTGATGCAGCGAAAGTAGCTAATAGCCAAAGCATTAGAATTCACTTTCGGATCTGATTATTTTTTATTTACAAAAAACTGTGAAGTTTACTAAAAGCAAAAATAAAAAGCACGTGCATTCTATATCTAACAATTTTTAATTTTTTTACATCGGAGAAAGTTCTCAATTTTGAAAAGATATCGAAAGACAACCATATTTTGTTAGAAGCCCATTATTAGGTTCTGGTGTTGAAGCTCACATACCTTTTCGCAACGTTGAATTGATTAATTGAATATTAATTGTCTATCTTCGAAATAGCAAAGCAAAAGTAGTGATATTTCTTTTAACAGCTATATATCATACACACATTAGGATATATATTGTTTGTATCACCGCAATAGCTTTGAAATTAATCTAATTGCTCATTAACAAAAATTGCTTTGTATTTAACAATTTCTTCATAGAACACATAATGATTTCTATTAAAACATAGGATGCTTAAGGATTTAGTTATGCTATGCTGTTTAGATTTATCGATAAATCATTTGTCACAAAATCTGAAGTTCAAACAAACAATATAAATATAATAGATGTATCTACTCAAGAGGAAAATGTTAAAAGATTCCATATTTGTTATAATGAACAATCCAATGTTTATCAGTTCCACGATACATAAATTCCAAAAAATACAACAGAAAAGGTCCAAGACTTTTGAAACCGTTAAAGACAGCTTCTATTTTCTTCAGTCAACTTTTCTTTGTCGAAAAAGGAAAAAAGGTGTAATGATTTAAAATATATAGCGCATTTTTATTATAATAGAATCAAATTTAAGGTTTCTGACTTTCTTCGAATTCATCAGAGAATGGATCATTGTTCTGTGTGATTGTCTCTGATGAGAACAATGGATTATCTTTGGTTGCTGTTTCTTCTAAGCTGATGTTAGTAGAAATTTGTGTTTCACGTTCTTCTATATCAGAATTATCACTGGCTGAGTCTGGATGGGAATTCTTCTTTCTTTGGATTAAGAGGATAACTGCCAAGACACAAAGAACTAATAAGATAATACCAACAATAACAATACCAACAATCAAACCAACATTACCGTTATTCTTCTTCTTTGTATTGGCCTTCTTAGAATCTGCGTTGTCTCCACCTGTTTCATCAGGATCATTAGGATTCTCTGGATCATTAACAGATGACTTGTAAACAGTGAACTGAACAATTGCTGGAGAAGATACGAGATTATCTGTGTCAATAGCTAAAAGTGTGAGCTGATGATCTCCAACTTCAAGAGATTGTGGAATCTGGTAGACAAATGAGAAGTCTTGAACTGTGGAGTCAGATTGAAGAGTGTAAGACGGTTCTTGTTTTCCTTCATCAATACTGACTATGAATGAGATATTGTTTCCAACATCTGGATCACGAACTGTACCAAGAACTTTCAGTTTACCACCAACTCTAACTCTGTCCTTAGCAACGCTGACACTAAGGAGCTTTGGTGGATTTTGGATGTTGAAGTCAAGAGCGAAGTTGCTTGTGTTCTGTCCACTAACATCGACAGCCCAAACATTCATTTTATGCTTGCCATGCTTGAAGTTGACTGGAATACCAACCTTGACTTCGAATTCTTGTGGAGATTCGCTGACTGTGATCTTCTTTGTATCATTGAGAAGAACTGAGTCAATCATGAAGTGCATATTGACATTGGAGTTGGCTCTAATTGAACCAATGATGGTGATCTGATCGCCATCGTTGTAAATATTCTTAACAATTGGTTTAAGAGAAAGAGATGGTTTGTATGTGATGAAAAGAACTGATTCAACCTTGTTGGAACTCAATAGTGGATCTAATGATGGATAATAGTTAGATTCAGCTAACATCCAAATTGTAACTGTTTTGTTTCCAATAGATTCATTTCCTGGGATCTCATAACCGAACTGGAACTTTTGGTTAGCAGTTCCATTAGATTGGATCTTTTGTGTTTCAGATGAAATGAGTTTGTCACCAAGCTGGACGAAAACATAAAGATATTTGTCCTTATCAAAATCATTGAAATAGCCTTCAAATTCAATAACTTCTGACTGAAGAGCAAATGGCTTGACAAATGAAGCCTTTGTGAGGTTCGGTTGGTTTACAATATGGAAGTACAAGAATTCTCCTAATGGTTGGAAGCCGTAGTGATCAACATAAGTTAGCATGATGTTGTGTTCTTTTCCATACGTTAAGTCATCAGGAAGCTTGATATTCTTAGTTCCTGTACGTTCTGTATTATCAAGTTCAATATCTTCAGCGAGATCCTTAATCTCTTCTTCATCAATATATACTTTGAGTGTAACTTTTCCATCATCCTTCATTGTGTAGCTTGCTTGAACTGTGGCACCACTAGTGTAATAATGTGAGTCTGGATATGTTACACTAAAATCAGGAACGTAACTGAAAATAACTGTTCTCGCGAAAATATCAGAAACACCTAGACCTGTTCTGATTGTGCTATTCTTGGTGTCTGACAACCATAACTTAAATGTTTGTTTGCCATATAACTGAGTAAATGTACCATATGGTGTGGACGCGTAGATTGTTTGACTACTTCCAATTGATGAAACTCCATAATCTGTGAATAGAAGTGGTTCCTCATCTCCGATTTGTCCATATAGATATAATTTCTTGCCATTATCAGGATCTTGACATACTACAGAGAATGACCATGGGCCATATGGTGATAATACGTCATTGTATAAGGACAAATCTGTAATTACTGGCTTATTCTTGTGCAAGAATGATAAAGTATATTTCGCGGTAGCTTCATTATCATTAGAATCAACAAGTTTTGAATAAACGTTGATTGTTCCGTAGCTTAATCCAGCTGGAACTTTAAATGAATCTTTGAACCTTCCATTTGTCAATGTTTTTGGATCGAGAATAATTCGTTTAAGTTCAATTGTACCAACAGTTAAAATAAGTTTAGCATATCCATCACACTTCAATGTACCTGTGATTGGAACTAATCCATCATCTGAATAAAGTGCATCTTCTGGAAGGTTATCTAATGTGTAAGATGGCTTGAATGTAATTATGATAGAGTTTGATGATTCTTCTGAGTTTGCATTCCTACCACTACTTATAGTTTTAATCATGATTGATATACTCTTCATACCTAATGGTGCATCAGATGGAATATAAAGTTGAAGTGTGTTTATTTGTTGCTTTCCATTTGATGTTATATAGTCATTTGCATATTTGTATTCTGCTCCATTAATTGAGTAATAGAAATATAAGTACTTAGATACATCTAGGTCAGTAAATGTGACTTTTGCAGAAATGTATGACTTTTGCAATGCCACAGATTTGTCTGTAAATGTGAAGCTGTTAATAACAGGCTTGTTGATCAAATAGAAAGTTTTTTCGTATGATGTTGCTTGTTTGCCATATTCATCAGTAACTGTAATCGTGAAATAGAGAGTGTTGTATAATGAGGAAGAATATTTGATTGTTTTATTGATCTTGAAATTAAGATCAACTGTTGTAGTACTGCCACTAGAAGAAGTTGAATATGATGTTGTATAGATTGTATATGTGTGATAATTATCATATCCATAGTATGAATAATATGAATAACGTTGACGAGCTGTAACTTTGACTGTTCCCTTTGAATCATCATAAATTACAACGTTGGCTCTAAATTCATCATCATAACCATAATACTGTGTTTCCATTGGGAAGTTGAAATCTACTTCTGGTGTCTTTGTGATTATAATTGTGGATGTCCATTCATTAGATTTAGAGTTTTTACCTGGGTTCTTTGGATCTTTTTCATACTGAGCCCAAACAACCACTTTAACATTTTTAGCAGATTTAGCATCAAGTGGTATTTGAGGAGAAACTGAATAAGCATAGTCATCAGGGGCATCATGATCTGGACGTTTTTCAGGGTCATAAAGTGTGCCTCCGATCTTTACAAATACATAAATATCTGTAGCGTAATATATATCTGAAGAGTAACCTGACATAATTTTTGGATTCAATGTCAAAGTTTCGCCTGGAGAAAGTACTCTTGAACTCATTTTAACATAATCTAATTTCAGCGCTTTCCTAATTTTAATAGGAAATTGATACATCTTAGATTTTGTATTGTTTTGGCCAACAGCGAGAACATATACTGTTTGACTTGTTGAATATTGTGAAGTTTGACAAATGAATGTTCCTGTATAAATTCCAGACTTATTGTAATTAATAGTAGATTGTGGGGAATACCAACTGTATGGATAGGCGTTATATATTTTTATGGTTCCTGAAAGATCTGCTGTTACATTGATTATGATGTTAAATGTTTCATCTGGCGAATAAATTTGTTCTGTTGGGAAGGTGACAATTATATCTGGATCATTTGCCATGAAGATTGTAAGGTGAGAATAGTTTGAAAATGAGAGTGGATCGAGGCCAGTAGTTTCGTTGTGATCACAAACAAAAATATCAATTGTTTTAGAGCCAGATGTAAGCATTACAATATTCCTTAATGATAAGTTGAAACTCTGGACTTCTCCAGCTTTAACTGTTGTTAAATTACCAATAATCATTGGACTTTGGCCCTGAATCTGCTGGAAGATGTAAAGTGTCTTTCCAACATCATAATCAATAATCTTTCCTGAAGCGTATACAATATCATCATTATCTGCTTGTGTCTTAGACAGACTGCAATTTGAAAGTATTGGCTTACTTCGGTATTCAATTGGGCAGTCCCTCTTCTTGGACTGTTCTATTGGATCGACACCGAATTCATCGACAGGATAATATGTGAGGTTGTATTTTCCATACTTGAATTTATCTCCTGGTGGGAAAGTAATGGTTGGGTTGATTCTTGAAACGCCATCTGTTGTGTTGTAAAAGTAGTCTTGATTGATATCTTCACTATTAATGAAGAACTTGATATGACCATTAGTATCATCATTAATAAGCATTGAAACTGTTAATGGATTAATGCTATTGAATGACCTTGGTGATGGGCAGTTACTTGTCATATTTGGGGTTCTTGTGATATTGACATAGACAACATACTTGTTGGATTCACGATTCTTTGTATTTCTATCAGGAACATTATCATCTTCAAACCAGAATGTTATTGGGAAGTTCATGTTGGTGTGAGACGCTATTGCCTGTGTTCCTTGGACTATAAGACCCGTTCCATTTTCGGTTCTTTGACCCCAATGGTAGATTTGTCCTGTTCCTTCTTGAATGCACAAAGTAATATTTCTGCCTTGATCGACATTGTCATAGTTTACTGTGAAGGTAATTGCTTTGCTTTCGTTTTCTTGTCTTAAAAGTAATGGCTGGACATTAACACTGGTGATATTTAATTTATTCCTGATGTGAAACAAAAGTGTTGCAGGTTGGGATCGAAGACCGAAATCATCTGTGAGTACAATTGTTAAATTATTAAGTCCAGAATTCTCTGATCTATATGTGACATATGATGGTATTGATAAAGCGATATGTGTCTTTACTTTTGCTTCATATCTGCTGGGAGCAGAGGGATCGCTGTTATATTTACGACCATTGTAGTAATATGTAATTGTACCATTATTATCATCTGTTCCTGTGAGATCCAATTCAATCTTTTCATCAGAAGTAAAAACTGTATCTGTTGGCCATTGAACTTCTAAGTTAGGAACTTCGGATGAAAGAATTTTGTAATTGATTGCATTTGAATCTGAATTTTCAGTTGAAGTTTCAATAAAATCTAATCTACTTGTAACTGTGAAAGATGTATTATATCGGTCTGATACTGATGGATAATTGAATACAAGGGTATGTTTTTGACCTTTTTGGCCGTTTGATTTTACAGGCCCAAGCTTTTCACGGAAGGTATTTGCTGTTCCAGAACCTTTTGCAAAAAGGTAAAGTTTCTTTCCGTTATCTTTGTCGTCAACTGTGAAATTTAAATTGAAAACTTGGCCTGGATCGGCTCTTAATGGTATCTGGAGGTCAACTAACTTTGGCTTGCTAAGAACTGGGAAAATTAATGAATACTTTGGATCAGCAGTTTGAATTCCATATTGATCTCTTGCGTAGATAGTGAGTAAGTATGGTTCTTTTCTGTAAGGACAAGATTGGCCTAAATCAATTGATAATGGGATTGTTTCATTTCCATTAACTGAATAGTTGATGAAACTTTCATTTCCATTGATTGCATAAATGATATTACCTCTGGAATCATCAGTTAAAAGTAAGCTAAATGAAAGATTTGATCCTGCATCGAATTCACTTCCATTAAATTTAGGTGTAACTACAAGTTTTGGTCTATCTGAAATAATAATTGAGCGATAGAATGGTGAAGTTGCACGGTCACCAATCATAGCGTAAACAGAGCAGTTGTAAGAACCCGGATTTGTTGCAATTGCTTCAATTACGAAATCTTGTCTTTGGCCATTTGGAGTATATTGTTCAGAGTGAATCTTTTTTCCATGTTCACCAAACTTGACTACGAAATAAATTGCCTGAGTACTGCTTACTTCCTGGAAGGTACCTTTGAAAAGAATCTTATCTCCTGTTGAATATTTAGGTTTGACAAAGAGTGTTTTGATGACTGTTGAATATTCAACGAAAAACGGAGGTAATGCCTTTTCAGCAGAATCACCGTTTGTATTTTGGGCAAGAAGCTTTAATGTATAAGTTCCAGTTCTAAGATCTGGAATTGTATAGTTAATCGGTCTTGTTTCTGAATGTGTTGTTTGAAAATTGAATTCTTCATTCAAAGATGATCTGATCAAAGTTGATCCTTTGTATAAGTTGAAAGTAACTGTTACTTTCGAAGCACTTTTGACTGTAAATTTTATAGGTAAAACATCTCCATTATGATAATTTTTAGCTATATCGATTGATTGGTGGACGACTTGAAGCTCTAAAGAAGCAGAATCTTCTAATCCAACTCTTGGTTGGTTATTTAAAGAGATTGGTAATTTAAAATCATTCAAATTGTTTTGAAAAATGAAATTCTCAGTAACTTTCTCTTTGCCAGTTTCTAAATGCATCTGTTGGAGACATAAAGTCTTTTGCAGAAAGAACGCGAAGAGAAATTGCATTATATATTTTTGATTTTATGTTTCTATGGGTTATCAAAATTTCAAAGAACAAGAAAAATTGAGCCTGTATGTCAGAATGATTTTTTATGTGATCGAGGAAAACTGGTAAATATGATAAATATTGGGAAAACAATATATCTACGAAAAATTAGATATGTAAATTGAAATGGAGAAATTAAATAAACTCAAATCTTAAGATTTCAAAAGTCTGATTTTTGGAATGATTCATATAAATGAGGTATCAATGAGATTGTTGGATGTGATATGATTTTGAGGTAAAGTCCACTTGATAATAAAATTGAATTAATTCAAAATATTTTATTAATATATTGGGATGATGTTGTGAATTCTCTAATTCGATCAAAATCAGTCAGATAAAATTGAGATAAAGTAGGACTAAATAAGGATTGAATTTTTGAGAGATTTGATTTTGAGATATTTTTAGTTTAATATTTATGTATAATATAATTGTCATAAAGATAAACACGTTATTCGTCATATAATCAAATTATCTATGTTTATTGGCTATGTTTCAAAATCACTATTTGGGATGGTTTGCCCGAAAGTGCAATAAAATCGATCATTTATGTTGTTAAAAAAATTCAAAGATGTGATGATTTTTTCAGTATTGAATTTGTAAAAAATTGATATTTATGTTGCAAATGGGGTATATCAGCATATTATTGTATTTTTCATGACCGAATTTCATTACAATTTTTACACATTTGATAAAATTTGAATCTTAACAATTGCTTTTTGAAAAGTTTACACATGACAAACAGATTTAAGAACATATTTAAAACCAATTAAGTATTAATATTATCTTTTATTTCTTAGCCATTTGATCTAATTCAAAAAATATTGAAATAACAAAATAAAGAGTAACCACAAGTTGAAGTTAAAATTTAATTCTACAGATGTGTGTGTCTCGTATTATCTCATTAAGGTTAACTATTCGTTCTGTGCTATACAAAAATTGATAGGATATGAGGTCTCTGAGAAAATTGCAATTAAACATCCCATAAGTGGTGTAAATATGCTTAAGCGATTGCTGTCTTGGTTAACTATACATACGTTATTTTCTATTGGAGTTTTCTAGTTTCATTTCTTGCTATTTTAAAAAAAAATACCGAAAATAATGAAATGCACATAAATGTTTATGTATGATGCTATAATGTTTGCTATGTAAAAAAAAAAAATCAAATTTTATTTTCAAAGTAATGTATTGGTTTATAGTTCATTGTCTGTAATGCTCTAACAGTCAATGCCACAACTAAATCAAACATAATCATGATGATATGTGTATTTCATTTTCCCTATCTGAATTAATAGTGAAAAAATAGTTCATAGACTGTAAGCGAATAATTTCAAAGCAACAGGACTCCCAAAAATCATCAATTCTGTGAATTTCTGGACCGATACGAAATTATTTTTAAGTGAACGAAAATCAATGCACCTTGTATTGTTTTAATTATCTCTTCTGATGAATGATCGACCGTTGAATGCTTATGTATTTGTTATAGAAACGTTGAAAATTTTTCTGAAGATATAATATTCGATTTATTGGCTTTTGTATAACAAAAAATCAATTGATTGGAAGGACCATTGCTTGTAGGCAAACTTTATAAAGAGAGTAAAGGAAATTGAAAAAAATATTATACGATTTCTAAGTTCTTTTGCGTGAATGCTGTTGCAACATGAGAGTGGAACCTAACATTCTGTGTGTTGATTTTCAAAATTTCTTATGAAATCAGAAAAATGTATGTCAATCCTTTTATTTTTACCAATAATTTTTATAATTCATAATTTTTTTGGAAATTTTTAATGTTTTTCTATTTTTAATCTTTTTCTTGCATAAATGAAACCAATTTTAAAGAATTTAAATCGATAAAATAAGTTTAAATTTGAAGATTAACTATTTTATAATTGTATTTTCAAATTTTGATTATGAATAATTTAGATTTTAGAAAATCATTATAACTGTAAGAGAGAACAATGAAACATAACAAAAATTTATTTTGATAGCTTATGCTATTAATATTAATATACATTCTATCTTGAATAAATGCTTGTATTTAAAAAATATGTAAAAATAGTCATTTATTTTAGTAAATTAAAGGGTATTAGATGGTATTAAGATATTCTTCACGATATTGCCTTTTGATTATTTATAAAATAGGAAGTGCTCATGATGCGCATAAATCGGTATTAAGGGAGTGATTCTTGGTATAAATTACATTACAACAATTGAAGTTAATTCTATTGACTGTTATTGTTGCTATACGAGCTAATTTCGGGGATATTCCTTCATAATCTTAAGGATTTTTACGGTTTATATTTATCAAATTCTTTCGGACGTTGGTTCATTTCTTATCCAAAAGTCATGCGGATTAGGTGCGTAATTTTTTTTTAAATTTTATTTTTTCAAT